CGATTGCCTTTTCTTTGGTTTAGCTCCTCTTGAGCGAATTCGCACCCTCTGGTCAGGCTCGTCTAAAGAACTATTGTTCAACGCACGGCGAAGTCTCAGTATTTGCCACCTGCTCATACCCTAAAAGCAGCCTATGTACCCTTGCAAGACAGCAGCAAATGGCAACCTATGGGGTTATTTTGGGAGTCTGCAAACATTCCGCATGCCCCTCATAATAGTAGGACTCTATTTGTGTGGCCACGTGTGGGACGTTGGACAAATATATCATGACTTATTGGCCTTCTTCCAGCCTTCACCACTCATCTACCCTACGAAATATACCTGTCGGCCACCATGTCAGTGATGATTTTGCAACTTTTTTTCGGTTATCGGAGGTGTGTAATGTTCCGTCAGTCCTACGCTGGACGAGAACATCCTGAAGTGGAAGATTGCTGTCAACTTTTTTCTCGAGCGTGAATTTTATTCCCGGAACGGTTAAGTTGATGGTGTTGTTGAGCATTCCCAATTGATCCTTTTTAACGACAACTAATGTATCACCCACATGTCGCACCCAAAACGTAGGGTTAACTAATGGAAGAGCTGCTGATTCCTGTTTCTGCATTGTCACCTCGGGAAGAAAGCCAGATAAAAGCGATCCAATTGGAGCTCCTTTTAGTTGTTGATAATATTGGTGACCGAAAGAAAACTTGGTCTTAAAACAAAGGTCCATGAGTTCAAGTAAGCAGGTGCGGGAACATCCGTGTCACAGAATTTTAGGAGTTCATCTATGCGGTACCTTGCGAAATATAATGGCACGGATGTGAGGATGTACACAATAAAAGAACATCAATCGAAATGATACCGACAAAGACAACGGAGACCGGAATGGCCATCATTGGCTTAAAAGCCTTTCTTGTCGGTGTCGTCTCTTTTACTTATACCAGTAATCGCTGTGCGACTACCTGAGAGCGTTCTAGTATACTTCCAAGGAAAAAACGGAATGAGCATGCTCCGCAACCTGATCGGTAGGCAAATATCCACCACAATATATATATATATATAAATTGAAAAACAGGCATCCCAAGATATATAATTAGAAAGGTGAAGTTTTTTGGGAAACAGCAAAATTTAATTGTGAATTTTTGAGACTGGTTCCCCAGCTCGTCTTCAGACAACAGCTGTGCAAAACAATAAACCTTTAGCCTGAGTCTAGCAAAAGGAGTCCATGATTGGTTAAGGTTGTTATCTCGGGATTGGCTGACTCGGTTTGAATCTGTCCTTAACGATTTTGCATGTGGCATCTAAATCGATATGCCGGTTGATGCAAGCCTCATCTGAGTGCATTGCTTCCAAGAATTCGCGGCCTTTCCTTGTTTGGCAGGCGCCAACAATGCGAGTGTTTTCCCATGCGAATTTATGCCCAGTGTCTAGTGTGTGCACGGCCACCTGGGATAGATGGTCGCGTCTCTTCACCGCTAACTGATGCTCATGTATCCGGCTTGAGACAGATTTCCCAGTTTGGCCACAATAAACGGCATCACAACTAGAACACGGGATTTTGTAGACGACACTATTTTCTTTCAAGGTAGCCGACTCTGTCCTTAGGGCGCACAAGCTGTGTGCGTAAGTTAGTTGCCGGCTGGTGTGCTACGCGTATCTGGTACATTTTCAATTGTCTTTCGACAAGTTCAGATACATTTTTGACGTATGGGAGAGTTCGCCATGTGGTTGGTTTTGGTGCCTGAGTGGCCGTTGTATTGGAAATACCTTTTCCCTTGAGTTGCTGGTGCCTCATGCATTGACGTATAAAGTCATGCGGGTACCCATTTTGAGAGAACAATTTGTAGAGGTATTTCATTTCTGCTCGATAACTTGTTTTGTCAGAGCAGTGGGTTTTGGCTCGATTCAGAAGGCTGTAGACTGTGCTCCGTTTGTGAGAGACAGGGTGATTACTCTCAAAGTGAAGAGACGCGACCATCTATCCCAGGTGGCCATGCACACACTAGACACTGGGCATAAATTCGCATGCGAAAACACTCGCATTGTTGGCGCCTGCCAAACAAGGAAAGGCCGCGAATTCCTGGAAGCAATGCACTCAGATGAGGCTTGCATCAACCGGCATATCGATTTAGATGCCACATGCAAAATCGTTAAGGACAAATTTGAACCGAGTCAGCCAATCCCGAGATAACAACCTTAACCAATCACGGACTCCTTTTGCTAGACTCAGTCTAAACGTTTATTGTTTTTGCACAGCTGTTGTCTGAAGACGAGCTGGGGAACCAGTCTCGAAAATTCACAATAAAATTTTGCTGTTTCCCAAAAAACCTCACCTTTCTAATTATATATCTTGGGATGCCTGTTTTTCAATTTATACGTATGAACTTCGAGCGGAGTGTTCTGCTTTTTGCTCGGCGATGGGAAAGTTTGACGCGAGAACAATTATCCTTCCTGCACCGATGTCGAAGCAATAGGATTTTACCGAAATCTGTGCGAGTGAAACCAGCATTAAAGTCGTCTCAGGGCTATCAGATTGCTACCCGGTATGGCCAACAAATGCTTGGAGCCTTTATAACTGATTCGCAAATTCAAAGATCAAAAAGAACACTACATGCAATTTTGCTATGAACAACTGCCTATTCACTTGTTTGAGATCCTACAGGAAACCATCATACACGTCGCAGAACTAGAGCGGCTAAAAAAGAGGAGCACCTTGGACAAAAAGTGGGCAATTATTTCTTATAAAGGTTGTACTAAGTCTACATGTCCAAAGAAGGTCGTAAACCTATCCTCTAGGGCCCTAACGACAACAGAGGAAAGTGTGCTTTGCAAAGGAATGAAGTACAATCCATCTGACTCCAATTACTTGGACTTCCTTGCCAGCTTCGAACCAATCATATCATCAACCAGTCCTACCGAAGAAGAACAATTCACCATTTGCAGCAGCACCGTACAGACATTGAAGAACCGAAAAAATTTCTCAACGCTTTCTCACGATGAAACAAATGCCTTTAAAGCTCTCAAACAAGACGAAGGCATCATCGGCCTACCGACAAAGGAGGTGCCACCACTATTTCGAACAAAACAGACTACGCAGACAAAATGAGGTCACTCTTAAAAGACGATTCAACATAGAACCTCTAGCTGCTGACCCCACGAAATCGCAAAATTCACATAAAGAAAAAACACTGAAACGCCTTTTGGGTAGGATATTAATCACAGGAGTTCTTGCCAAGTCTTTACAACAGGATGAACTAACAATTGCCAAGATATATGGATTTCCCAAAATGCATAAAGCTGATATTCCGCTGCGAACGATAGTCTCCCTAATCGGTGCACCCAACTATAAAGTCTCGAAATGGCTATTTCGCCAAATACATCCACTTACGAAGGACTCCTAGAACTCCATTCAGGATTCAAAAGAGTTTCTAGACAAATTAAACGTTGACAACATTACATGTGAGGAGATTATTGTGTCATTCGATGTGGTCTCGCTCTTCACTTCGATTCATCTATATTTAACGAAGAGCTGCAGCGAATAACTCTTTTAAACATACACTTCTGAGGTGCCTCCAGAGGCTTTGCTTTAGCTCCTAGATCTCTGTCTGGAGACATATTACCCCTTCTCCAAACAATGTTACCGGCAGTTAAAAGTTGCTCCCATGGGTTCAACCATATCCGATTTCCTGGCGGAGGCATTACTGCAGAAATTAGAGAGCATAGCGCTTCCCACCGTCAACCCACAACTGTGGCTGCGATACGTAGATGACACTTTTGTCATCGTCAAGAAACATCAGTTGAATCTGTTCCATACCAATATTAACTCCATATTTCCAGGAATTAAATTTGGTTTCGAAACAGAGGTCGATGGACAACTCCCAATCCTGGATATCCTTGTACGTCGAAAAACCGATGAATCACCTTTGACATCAGTTTTTCGCAAAAATGCGTATTCAGAGGCCATCCTACACTTTGAGAGTAAACACCCTGTCTCTCGCAAACAGAGTACAGTCTGCAGCCTTCTGAATCGAGCCAAAACTCACTGCTCTGATGAAACAAGTTATCGAGCAGAAATGAAATACCTCTACAAACTGTTCTCCCAAAATGGGTACCCGCATAAATGTATACGTCAATGCATGAGGCACCAGCAACCAAAGGGAAAAGGTATTTCCAAGGCTACGGCCGCTCAGGCACCAAAACCAACCACATGGCGAACTCTCCCATACGTAAAACATGTATCTGAAGTAGTCGAAAGACAATTGAAAAAGTATCAGATACACGTAGCACACCAACCGGCAAATACCTTACGCATGCAACTTGTACACCCTTAGGACAGGGTTAACCACCTCGAAAGAAAAGGTGTTGTCTAAAAAATCCCATGTTCTAGTTGTGATGCCGTTTATTGTGGCCAAACTGGGAAATCTGTCTCAACGCGTATACATGAGCATCAGTTAGCGGTGAAGAGACGCGATCATCCCTCCCAGGTGGCCATGCACACACTGGACACCGGGCACACATTTGCATGAGAACACACTCGCATTGTTGGCGCCTGCCCAACAAGGAAAGGCCGCGAATTCCTGCAGACTGTAGTGACATTTAAGTCCGTTTTGTTTTAATCAGTTACAATACGTTTTGACACAACTTTGAATAAGACAAACAACACGCACGTGCACTTTTGCCTGCTGACGACTTTGTTCTTATTTACTAGTTTGTAACTGTTGGGATACTGCTATTTTCGTTTCCCGGATAGCCTACTCGCTGTGCCCAACTAGTGGGTTTATCACTTACACTGGTGACCCTGTATCGTTCATAGCTCCTTCTTTTTCATTTCTGTGCATAACTATTTCCATTCGGATTAATCCTCACTCTATTTTTTATCGATCAGATTATTCATTTAGCCCTTATTTGCTATTCACATTGTCTCACCCTTTTATCCAATACGAGCGCTACCCTTTAATCTTACTGTCAACGCGCCAGTCATCTACCCCATTTATCTGACCTCTGACCGACCTCGGCTAATTATGTCCAACGATTCTACCAGCCAGCCGATAGCCGGCATTCACACCTTTGACCTGCCTTCCGTGTGGCTCGGTGACATCGCGTTGTGGCTGCGCACTGTAGAGTCCCGTTTCGCCCTCCGTCAGATCACACGAGAGGATACGAAATTTCACTATGTTGTGGCAGCACTCCCAATGGACATCGCCACCGACCTCCGCGACATCATAGATTGTCCGCCCACAGAAGCCCCTTATACTGCCCTTAAGGAGGCTCTCATTTCCCGCATTTCCCTCTTAACGCTAAAACGTCTCCAACGTTTAATTTCTGAGGAGGACCTCGGTGACAGGAAGCCTACGCAGCTTCTTAGACGTTTGGAGCAGTTGGCAGACGGACAATAGCTGGATGCCACCATGTTCAAACACCTTTTCCTCCAACGGTTGCCTCCTTCTGTGCAAGCCATCCTTGCGCCTAACATTCCTTCATCGACTGTTCAGATGCTCGCGGAGACTGCCGACCGTATACTCGAGTACTACCAGCGTCCTGTTACGGTTAACGTCGCTAGTCGAAGCACAATTGCCCCCACAATCGAGGATGTCGTCAAACGCCTGGATGCCCTCACACTCGAAGTTTCCCAGCTCCGGGCCACTCGTGTCCATAACCCTCGTAGCCCTGCGATTTCTCGCCGCCCGAGATCTCCCACTCCAAATCAACCTGCAGTTGATGGTTTCTGTTGGTATCATCACAATTATGATTCTAACGCCCATCGCTGCCACTCTCCGTGCAAGTATAAAACACCCGCGTCTGAAAACTCCCCTGCCGACCAGTAAGGGCGACGAACGTGGTCGGCACATCCTCTCCCAGTCGCTTACTCCACATCTATAACAAGACTTCCTGTCGTAATTTTCTCGTGGATACTGGTGCGGAGATCAGTCTAATCCCACCCACCTTGACTGACCGTAAGTCACCAAACTCTTCATTTTTCCTCCAAGCAGCTAACAATACTTCTATTAAAACCTTTGGTCAACGATCCCTAACACTAGATTTGGGTCTAAGACGTTCATTTCGTTGGCTATTTACAATCGCCGATGTTCATACTGCCTTTCTCGGCGCTGATTTTATATCTTTTTTCGGTCTCCTCGTTGACAGCAAGTCCCATAAATTATTTGATCCTAAGACTTCTTTACATTGTAATTGTTCCACTCGTACCATTTCATCACCTCATCCACGCATTTCAACAATCCCTTCGTCTACTCCCTATCATCGTTTACTTTCGGAATTTCCATCTATCACACGACCCTCACAATTTAACCAACCTATCAAGCATTCTGTTGTACATTATATTTCAACTACTGGACCACCCGTGTTTAGCCGTCCCCGTCGTTTAGCCGCCGATAAGCTAGCCATAGCCAAGGCTGAATTCAGTCACATGATGAAGCTGGGCATAGTTAGGCCTTCCACTAGTCCATGGGCTGCACCTCTAGATATGGTGTGCAAAAAGTCTCGTTGACTGGCGCCCTTGCGGGGATTACCGACGGTTAAACACCTGCACTGTGCCTGATAGGTATCCACTTCCCCATCTCCACGACTTTTCATCTAGCCTAGCTGGAGCAACAATATTTTCCAACATTGACTTAGTCAAAGCTTTCCATCAGATACCCGTTGCTCCAGAAGACGTTCCCAAAACGGCGATTACAACACCGTTCGGCCTGTTCGAGTTTGTCAGGATGCTTTTTGGGCTACGCAACTCCGCTCAAACTTTTCAACGTTTTATCAACGAAGCCCTCCGCGACCTACCTTTCGTTTTTGTCTACGTCGACGATGTTCTGGTAGCAAGTTCCAATGAACACGAGCACCTACAACATTTGCGTCACATTTTTGAACGATTGAGCCAATTTGGCGTTTTCCTTAATGTTTCTAAATGTGTTTTTGGCGCACAGTCGCTGCTTTTCCTAGGACATCGCGTAGATGCTTCTGGTTGTCATCCCATAGACGCCAAAGTTTCAGCTATTCGCGATTTCCCTACTCCCACTTCTTTTCAACAACTGCGCCGTTTTATAGGCCTTGTCAATTTCTATCGACGTTTCATCCCTCATTGTGCTCAATTAATGCTACCACTTACTAACCTTTTACGCGGGAACAACCGTGAGTTTTCTTTTCCTGACACAGCTGTAGAGGCTTTCAATCGTGCCAGAAAGGCTCTTGCGGATACAACTGCCCTTGTTCATCCTATACCTGATGCCCCACTTTCCATTGTGGCCGACGCCTCCAATTTCGTTATAGGTGCTGCCCTTCAGCAACAGACGCCCACTGGCACCCAGCTCTTGGCTCTCTACTCTGCCAAATTGACACCCCCACAAACTCGCTATAGCACTTTTGGTAGAGAACTTCTTGCAATTTATTTAGCCATTAAGCATTTTCGTAATTATATTGAGGGCCGAGATTTTCGTATTTATACTGACCACAAGCCCCTTACTTATGCCCTCTCTACTTCTTCTGACAAGTATTCACCCCGCGAGACCCGCCATCTCGATTTTATTTCTCAGTACACCACCGACATTCGATTTCTTAAAGGCCTTTATAATCAAGTTGCTGACTGTCTTTCTCGGCCTGGCATTAACGCCATCAACCGCCCTTCCATTGATTTGGAGCGCATGGCAGAACTGCAAAATCAGCCGACTTTCAGTGAGAGCCTTCAACACACTAGTCTTCAACTCGAAGCCATTCCTCTCTCCACCACCCCCGGTACAATCTTGTGTGACGTATCGCGCGGTGCCTCCCGACCCGTAGTGCCAAGCGAGATGAGACGAGATGTTTTTGCCGCGTTGCACAATCTAGCTCACCCTGGCATCCGCACTACCCAGCGCCTCGTCAGCGAGCGTTTCGTTTGGCCAAGCATGAACACTGATATCCGCCAGTGGACCCGTTCATGTTTGGCCTGTCAGGAGGCCAAAGTCGGACGGCATAACAAAGCCCCCATTGGCACTTTTCTCGCACCCGACGCACGTTTTTCACATGTCCATATCGATCTAGTAGGTCCCTTTCCAACATCTCGTGGTTGTAACTACTTACTTACTGCGATTGACCGATTTACTCGTTGGCCCATTGCAACTCCCATACCTAGCATAACTGCAGATTCCGTTGCTCATGCTTTTTTGGAACACTGGATCTCTCATTATGCCGTCCCCTCAACTATTACCACCGATCGAGGTCAACAATTCGAGTCTAGACTTTTTAGCAGCCTTACCAACCTCCTCGGATGTTCTCGCATACGCACGACAGCATACCACCCCTCATCCAACGGCTTAGTCGAGCGTTTCCACCGGCAACTCAAAGCCTCGCTCCGAGCTCATGACAACCCTTCCCATTGGAGCGATCATCTGCCTTTGGTCATGCTCGGTATCCGTACCGCACTCAAGCCCGACTTAGAGTGTTCCGCTGCCCAACTTGTCTACGGTACCACCCTACGGATTCCCGTGGATTTTTTCGGGTACCCTCAAAGCTCAGCCGACTTGGATCCCAGCGACTATATGCAAAGATTGCGCCAAGCCATGACTCATCTTCGAGCCACTTCTCCACGTCCTTCAACAAGTAAGTCGTACGTCGACCCGAACTTACTAACATGTTCTTTTGTATTTGTCCGCGTAGATAGCATTCGCCGGCCACTACAACAGCCCTATGACGGCCCACTTCGAGTACTATCGCGCAAGGACAAGCATTTTACAATTGACCGTGGAGGCCGCACCGACGTGGTCCCAATCGATCGCTTGAAGGCGGCTTACACCGAGCCTCTTTCAACTTCTCCAACCGAACAACCTCCACTTGGCACATTGCCACTTGCTATTTCCCAGACTCCATTTACGCCCAATAACCCCGCATCTTCCCTTAACCCACAGACTCCTTCCCTTACTCGCAGCGGTCGTCATGTCCGTTTTCCCGATCGTTACCAACTTGTACAATATGCATAACACTCCCACATTTTCCTTCTATTAACAATAATTTTTTTTGAACTCCGTTCTCCTAGGATGGGGAGTATTGTAGTGACATTTAAGTCCGTTTTGTTTTAATCAGTTACAATACGCTTTGACACAACTTTGAATAAGAAAAACAACACGCACGTGCACTTTTGCCTGCTGACGACTTTGTTCTTATTTACTAGTTTGTAACTGTTGGGATACTGCTATTTTCGTTTCCCGGATAGCCTACTCGCTGTGCCCAACTAGTGGGTTTATCACTTGCAAGACAATGCACTCAGATGAGGCATACATCAACCGGCATATCGATTTAGATGTCACATAAAAAAATCCTTAAGAACCGATTCAAACTGACTCAACCAATCCCGAGATGATGACCGTAACCAGTCATAGAATCCTTTTGCCAGACTTAGTCTAGAAGTTAATTGTTTTTGCACGCCCGTTGTCTGAAGACGAGCTGGGGAACCAGTCTCGAAAATGTACACAATAAACTTTGCTGTTTCCCAAAAAGCCTCACCTTCCTAATTATATTTCTTGGGATGCCTGTTTATATATATATATATATATATATATATACGCAAGTATCTATGTCGGGAGTACGCTATAATACCTTTACCATATGGATTTCATACTACTCCTAGTATTACTTGTTTGTAGAATGGGAATTACGTGGTTATTCTACAGTCGTTGATTGTCTTCGAAACAAATGTCCATTGAAATTTCGGTTCTGACCGTAAAAATTCATGTTCCGGAGATTTAACTCCAAGTCCTGCACCGAGCAATTTCTGAAATTATTCACTTGATATATACATGTATACAATCCTACTCTCAGGGATTTTACTCTTTGCAGAGGGGTAATGCGGAAACTTCCGAAGAACATGTACCTAAGAGGTGTCTATGTGCGGTGCATGCGTTGATGGAGAAATGCATGATGATTTGCCGCAGATTTTCGTGCAGACGCACGTGACCAGGCAGACCCATGAGGCGAGCGAATGTGCAAAGACAGTTTGCAAATCTTGATCGGATGTGACAGGCCTACGTCTGGACTCCAGTCATTGGTGCGTCTGCCTCGGTGTTGTGGAGTAGCGCCGGCAGTGATCTCACCGGTGGGCGGATTGTGCGAGGTAGTAGTTGTTGTCGTCGGCGGGGTGTAGGGGTGTCCAGCGATGGGTTCACGTGACTGTCGTAGTAGGTCGCTCCCTTGCTTGCAGGTGTAGACTACGCCTAGCGTCCATTTGCTGGCACCCAACTCTCACATGTGGCTACCCGAAGTCAGGCTCTGCCTAGCTGCCGCACCCACGGTAACTGCCTCGACCAGCGGGCTAAACCAGGTGAGGGTATCCCAGTGTGCATCTCACCACACGGTAATCTCGGCTTCGCTGGCAGGATGGGTCATCGCATCGGCATTGCCGAGACGAGGCTACGTCTGGAACACTGCGGGAGGTCAAAAGGTAGGTAAGCCCTCAGGTAAGCGAACTTTACTCTGTTTCCTTACTTACTTTCCTGTCAATGTCACTTGCTGTATGCTGTTCTTGTTGTCTGCTCTGTGTCCGTTTGTCTGTGCCTCTCTCTGCTAATAGCTAGGTGTTAGTGTGCTGGACTTCGTTTGTTGCCTTGCTTAATCCTGTCCCTGCCTGATGGCTGTGTCTGCTTGTCCACCAGCTCCGTCACGTTGAAGTCATCCTGCACACCCACCATGACTAGTCCAACCCACACCCGTCGCCCAGTGTGCCGACCACCACAAGATCCACCACCAACATCCCCACAGCTGACACTGACACTGTCGAATTCCCATGTCCACACTGTCCCCCCAAATTCACCTCACGCATCCACCCGATCGGTCACTTACGAAATCATTGCACAGAGACTGGAGAAACCGTGCCTGAAGCACCAACCTACACTCGCCGAATCCGTCTACACTGCCCACACTTTACTCGCACATTCATTCACTGCATGGGTCTAATGGGCCAAATGCGCGTCCACGAAAACCTACGGCAGACAACCGTCGGTTGCATCACGTCATCACATCCTTCCTCACCGGCATCTCATCGTACATCAACATTCACCCACCACAAGCATCCAATTTCAACCTCCCACGCAAGTGTGCCTCTTGACTCCGTCTCCATACGGTCCCCCAGCTGCATGTGTGACTCGAATCTGAAACTATCACGGCGCGTCAAGCGTTGTGGATTGAAAGGTCGCTGGCTGACGCCCCAACTCAGCCCACGCACTCCGTCCAGTTTTGTGTCTGTTGCCTGGAGTGGCGCACTGGTGGACTGAGAGCCAGGCTGAGACGGCTCCTTCTCAATGTGACCAACGACACTCTCACAATTGTGAGATGAACGCCGCTCAACCCCCGTTGTGTGAAATCCTGGCGCCTTTGTTTGCTGGGCCAGGTCGTGCATGTGGCCTGCGCAGACAAGATCCCTAGACCACGTCAGCCACCGCAGAGTAAACGCTTGTTCGATGCAACTTAAAGCGTCTATTTTCTTGGGTTTTGACCAGGTCCAGAAGTCAACCTTCTTGAGTGATGACATGGGCCGACTTGATGGCGGGACGAACTCCTGGAGCCTCCAATGAGACGAAGGGAAGTAGGCAGTGATTGTGGCAATCCCAACGTCGAAAAATAGGGAAGGACAGTATTTCTAACCTAACCTACACAAAACCTCCCCTTTCCAGGGCCAGAAGGCCTAGGGCGATCATGACAGGTGCTCTGCCAGGTGTTAGGGTACGGATTACGGATATACTTGGGGGTTTGGGGTAAGGCCTTAGGCATGGACTTCGTGCTGGTGGTTAAGATACGCCGCGCGCGAGACCATGCCTATAACGACCTTCAGGCGCAGTCCCGAACGGAAAGAGAAGGGGGATGCCAGCGGGAAGGATGATCATTCTGTAAAGAATAACTGGAGGAGCTGTGGAGAGTTGGCAGCCAGACGAGGGAATGTCCAGCGTCGAGTTGGCGGCGTCCCAAAGTCCGTCATGGAATGAGTCAAACCGTCCGACTCGGCTTTGAATTTGATTGGCCAGTTGGGAAGCCGAGTGGGCGAATGCCAGACAGCACAGTTGCACACACGCTGACACTCACCAAAGGCCCAGCGTTGCGACAGGCGCTCGGAGTAGAGCCACTACAACGCTACAAAGATTGTCGACTTTAAATGTGCTTGTCGCAGGCATCGCGGGAGTTAAGTTTGATGACACATACTCCGTAACTCCTCCTCCAATGCGATTCGTCATCACAGGTGGAGACGAGTTTGCCTCAAACATCTAGTCGGTAACCTAGGTTTCCATTTTTTCTGCCTGCTCAAAGTACGTAATTTCCAGTTTTACCGACTGAACTTTCGCGTTTTTACGCGTTGTTAGCGCGTCCAAAGGCTTAGCGACGTAAATGTATGTTTCCCGTCCGATTCACGAAAGAAGCTATCTGTGAGTTTCAAAGACATCATTCATAAAACCTTCATTACTGCTACTTCTGTATCACAAGCGTCTTTACTTCCTGTTTTCTGAGAAGGGCCACAAACCCTTTCGCAACCGGCATGCGTAGGTTTGGGATTCTTCACCGATGGTCCTCAAGAACTGACAATACTGACACCGGCTTGAGTGAGACAATTTGGATTACACTGACGATACCACCATCTCCGGCTACTCATGGTACAGGATTGGGTTGACCCACGCACAACTTTCGTTGCCTTCTTTAACACTGGTACGGTGCCGCTGTTGCAAGCGAATTCTCAGGAGGTGGCGAAATGGTCGGCACAGGTCCTCGGGACGTGGAGGTGGCCCCTGGGGCCTCGACATTTCGTCTCGTCTCCAGGGGGCGAAACACATTACCAAGGAATATTGTTGCCGATTCATCCTACGAGAGTATTGATTTAAACTAGAACAGGCATGACCGCAGCTGTGTGTAACTCCTACAGATTCTGATGTCCAATTCCCAAGTTTGTATTTGGCACAGAAAGGAAATTTGAAGCATGATACGTAGCTCAGTCACTTTTATTGAAGAATAAAAATAAGCATGTATAACAAATTTTTCTTTAAGCTTAACGCTTGAAAAAATCAGCAAATTTTAGCACAGAGGAAATGCTCGTTCGATGGACCTTAAACCATCTATTTTCCTGGGATCCGACCAGGTCCAGAAGTCAAACTTCTTGCGCGATGGCATGGGCTGACTTGACGGTGGGACGAACTCCCTGATTGATACGCCTTGATCATAACCGTAACCTCCAATGAGAAGAAGGAAAGCAGACAGTAATTATTTCCAACTGAAATTTGATTAGAAGGTGAAAGCGGGTCAAAACAACCAAAGATGTTGGGAATGAGTGAGGAAGGGGAGTAGGGATGCATGTGGAGAGGGGGTGGGCACATAACTACCGTTGACTCTGATAGTGCGCTGGTGAAAAAGCCGTTTTGGCAAATAGGTAAATTGTCGGCAGAACTATAAATCATCGACCAAATCGGCCCTTAGGATCCCATTAGGGGAATTCGGCTCGATCAGCCCGAAACAACACCTCATCTATTGCCGAGAATTCTCAGGGTTTAAGAAGTGCCTGCATGTCCTGGAGAACAGAGGCGAACCAACCTTCCAGCTAGCCGCTCCAACCTCACGTGCACTGCAGACAAACACGAAGCATTGAATATAATAAAAGCAATACGCATGAAGTAGGAAAGGAATAAAATGTTCCAAATGCCTCAACCGTCCGTCGCATCGGGTTCGCATCGACTCTTGACTGTCTCATTCGGGACGAAGTCTTGCAGTTTACCTGGAAGTTAATCCCCAGGGAGCAGTCGAACTAAACGCCCAGGTACACATTCAGTCACAGCCATCAGTGCATCACTTATAACGGCAGAAGTGGATGAACCGAGAAGATACTATGAACGGAATAATACAACGCCGCGAGTTTATATAGATCTTCAAATGTTTAAAATGACTTTTCAAGCCGCATTTAGTGTCAGTGCATACATTGTCTCCAATCTCGCTTTTAGACGATAAATCGACCGGAGATCACTGAAACCGCCATATTCTCCAGCTTGAGAACAGTAATAACAAGGGTTGCCCATTTATGGAAAACATACGCTAGACGACACATCGACGACTGTCATCTCTCGAAAAAGCTCCCCTTGTGCTGCAGAATCGAGAACCGTGTACAGCTATCTCCCAGGTCGAGTCAAATGCAGATATTTAATGAATAAAAACAACCTAATCGTGCCCGACAAAGTACCGTCGACCGGTATCACACAGTTTGTCCCGTTCTGGCCAACAAGAGGGAGGAGCAAGACTACAGAGTCAGATCAACGAGTGGGTACTTCACCCTTCAGAATATTTGGTCTTGTACATGGGACTGCATACTATAACACTATAAAACTAGGCAATTCCTAATCGTTCAGTCTTCGTAAAAAAAACACGAGTTAAAACAAATACAGAAAAGCATAATTGTCATTGCACAAGGGGAAAGTGAAACGATAATTCCCCGAGTTATTTTTCGCCGTCTCTAGGCAGTCATAGTCCAGGTCAAAACCACGCATGCTTGGGGGTGAATTCTTGCTCAACTATACATAAGACCAGCCGGCCGAGATCCGCGATGGCGCTGACCGAGTTCGTCCAAGTAAAAAGCGCATCATAGCAATTCAGTGTTATTTCCTGAAATCATCGGCCTCACCTAGAAGCAAAGAATCCTTCCAGACAAAGGCCTATATATATATAACCTAAATGTCCTGAGGCAGTAAAGACCGGGTGGGGTGTGTGCACCGGACGCATGCCGACGGGTTTCGCCATGCGGCTGGACAGCCGTTGGACGAAATTACGCTGACGAATTATCTCTGTCGCAGGCCTGTCAAGCAGTCGAGGCGCTGTGAGTGATAAAGGGGGGGGGGATGAGGTAAATGCAACGAACGGCTGTCCCACTTCAAACACATTTATTCCTAAATGACTGTCGCCAGGATCCTTTTGTTGTCAGCAAACAAGTTTACACCATGAAAACATATCCACTGGAAGGACCACTGCGTGTGGCCCTAAATCTATCCCTAAAGGTGCTAACACCTTCTCCAAATTTGGGTCTTCCGATCATTTAGTTGCGATGAGAGAAACAAAGAGAGGGCTTAAAAATGCAAGGGGAAGTAGAGGACCGAACTAGGCCATCTTGACAGCCAGACGGCCCACAGGCAGTAGGCAGACTCGAGGACAGCAAAATCAACTCATCAGGGGAAGAGAGACAGAACTGCTGACTCACGGAAAGAAAAAAGTCTGTCCTGCCAAACGGCGAGAGTAAAAAAAGACTCCTTTAAGGTATGTTCAGTGAGGCGTGTCCACTTACCCAAGGGGCGCCGGTTGTCGGGCGGGGCGAAGACATCAACCCGTACGTTATAATCATTATGAACATAGGCACTGCATCCAGAAATAAAAAGGTCGCCCTTGAATACGACCGCCGTGCATCCATTATATGCGGATAGCATGGGAGCAGCAGCCTTCCAAAAGCTGTCCGATGACTTTCGTGGTCCACGCCAGTCTGCTGCCTCTCGTAAATGACACATCTCCACAGAGGACAATGATTTGACACAAAAATCGGGTTTGCCGCCAATCACAAACACGCGACCGTCCGGCAGCGCAACAGCGGTAGAGTTTTGCCTTTTTTCTTTTAAACCAGGTAGTCTTTACCATCTGAAATGAAGACGGCGGTAAAAAGGGTGACTTAATTAGGTCACTGCAACGGTGGCCTACTTATGACAACAATCCGGTCAGCAGGACAAGTTGCACGAATTTTAAGTCGAAAGAAAGCGCGTTTAAAAACGTACCACGGGGGCGGGCGGTTTTCAGATGAGATGAAAACTATGTCCCCATTTGAAACGTGGATCAGACTCTATTAGCTACCCGTTAATTTTGGCCGTAAATGGTGGCGGTATTTTTTGAACAAGGCATGCAGGATATCCACGATTAAGTAAGCTTCTTTAATGCGGGCAGTTTTGGTATCTAGGGTCTCCCTCGAGCAAACATTTATCGTTCTTTGAAAAAGAGTATTTAAAAGATTCCTTTCCGTTGCATTAGCGCGAATCTTTCAAAATGTAAGTATTGCCCTTTCCATGTGATCTTATGGAAAACGGAGCGCCGTACTGATTCATCATCCTCTCTAAACATGTGAACGTCTAGGAGGGGAAGCTTGTTACACTGCTCCATTTCTATAACAAATTTAATTTTCAGATACACGTTATTCATTACACAAAGTAGATCAGAGGCGTCTACCTTGTTATCAACATCCGTGAGTATATCATCCATGTAGAACCTGCATAACGCTGGTATGTTCAGTTATAGTGACACCTTTTCTTCTAGGTGAACCATTAAAAAACATCGGCAAAGGTTGGCCTGAGCCCATTACGATTCCGTCAATTTGCTCATACGACTGAGATTTAAGTTCGTACGCGTCATGTGGTAGGCGAGAGCGGTTTCACTGCGTCCGGTCTGGGCTCAAAGCGGTTTTGAACGGACAGGCCGCTGGCACATGGGTGAGGAGTGAGGTCGATTCAGTGTTCACTTTCCTCACAGGAAAATGACATACAGGCTTCTAAACCATCATAACGCCTAAAAATCGTGCTTCAGAAGGGTGCCACCCGATCAAATTATTCGGGCCTACCCAGAACTGAGGTACAGACTGAGATAGCTCTAGTATTAACTTCATAACAGTCTATCTAGTAAGGGATTTGAGATCTCCCATCGAGGCCTAGCTTTACTTTGGAGGACCACTATTTGGGTCACGGAGAGTGGGGGGGGGGTGTAGGGTCGATCAAGGTAGGATTGAAGGCACTAAACATTGCTATTCTTCTGGAACACTATCTGGATCTCGGAGAGTGGGGGTTAAGTGGGGTGGAGATGATTGCTCCACTTCTGGAGGTTTCGACGGGCTTTAATGCCTCAAGTCTTACCGATAGGTCGCCGTCCGTAACCACAGATTTCAATCAGGCCACTCTTCTCTGGAAACTGTCAAGTGCGGTAACAGTCGCTCTGTTGCAGTTGGCTACATCAAACATCGCATTTTAAGCGATATGTGCAGACATTTTAGTCGGAATTTTCAGTTTATCTCTGTTACATACATTCTTAGACCAAATGTACAGTTTCAGCAAAAACAGCCAAATCACGATCGCTTAATCCTCACTGAGCTTACAAATAACGCTTGTGGAACCTGAGAAAGAATATGGAAGAGGTAGACTGTAAAGCTACGCCATAGAACTTTCTTAGTTGCAATCGTCAAAGGGAATCCGGCCAGAAAGTGAGAACACATAAGCGGCCGTAGAAAATTGCCTTTGACTAAAGCCAAGTCTGAGCAAAGAGAGGCCAAGTTAAGACAGGAGATTAATCGGCGAATAGACGCGGTGTCCTAATGCAGTGCGTAATGCCCTCAGGCTTCGAGCCTGGGAGAAGGGCACGGTTGACTGACGACCAACCCACTCATACGGCAGAAAAATTCATTCAAGCCTGCCTCAATTTGACGGTGAACAATATTGCCATTTACTTTACTATGCGGCTACGGCGGCCAGCAGACTCACTTGTCTTCCTGTGCAGAGTAGATTTCACAAGTGTCAAGACACTCGTTCTGATTGTTCCATCCGCCAAAGACACAAATCACGTTTCCCTGACCGACTGGGACGGCAACTACCGAATGGCACCTCCGTCCCGTGGAGAGCCGCGCACATTCCTTCCACCGATGTTCCTTCGTATCAAATTTGTGAACATTTGGAAAGCTGCCGTCGTTATCATCTCCTCCAATCGCGAAGATGCAGCCTGTTTCCAATGCAATAAGGAGCGAAGTGAGGAGATACGAAAACGAGTGTCAAGGATATCAACGAAAGGCGTCGACTATGTGAGAAAATACACATTTAAAGGCGATAAATTACCCCACAATGAGTGTTCTCATGAAGTCGGAGGATCTGGCACAGACATGCTGTTTTACGACTTCCGGTCTTGTACCACAGGCTTATACAATGGCAAAAGGGTTCTGGCCAGAAGTTGGCAGATTATGGCGCAGCACGCGTTTTCCATCGCGCGGTTTAAAATCGTCGGTGAGGGGGCGTAGGCCTGTTGAACGCCAGCATCGATAAAACATCTATGCTCTGGATAAGGGAGAAAAGTACAAGACAAGACGAAAAACCATTCTGTTCACTTATTTCTATGCGACGGGAGGCAGTCAGTTAATGAGCATGGGATCAGTCTTCCACGGCTTACAGTGGGCGACGCCTTGCGAGGAGGCGAAAAGGCAGATAAGCGTCTTTCCCGTATTAAGGTGAATATCCGGTTCACACAAACCCTGTCCGGTTGATGCAAACATGTTACGGAGAGAAGACAGGAGCTTGTCAAACGCCATCGACGTCACCACACCAACGCTGATGGTAACAAACGTGTAGAATTAGCCGACTAGAGGTCTAGCGACTCTGGACGGCAGTTGTAATACAACACTAGTGATTACTCATAGGAAACCTTTAGCCACTGAAGAACAGTCTTCTTTTGCGTATGCATTGTACATGAGGATTCACGTAGGGAGGGTACTCTGCACACCATAACCAACCTGTGTACATTCAGATAAGCGTCTTTCGCGCAAAAATGTCAATCCTGGGGAGCTTGTTTTGTTCGGTTTACACAAACATACACGGTCGATGCGCATGCTTCGCGTTCGCGTAGAAATTTAGAAGGCGGATCTGCGTGTTATGGAGAAAAGACAGGGGCTTGTAAAAAGCCATCATCGTCACCACACAAACGCTGGTAACAACAGACGAAACGCAATCATTTGTCAATTAAGAAGCGTTAGACGGTCCTTTGGACATTCTTGACAGCAGTACGCTCCGATTACTTGAGTTCGATGTGAAAGCCTGAAATCAGACGGTCGTTTTGTATGCAAAACACTGACACCCCTTGTGAATTTGATGAGAAACGAATGTTTGACAAAAAAGAACGCAGACAGATGGTTGTCAAGGTTGGTACATGTGAGCTGCGTTCAGTAAGCAAGCACACAACGGACGAATAACAGTCGCTAGGGCAAAATCGAGGACGTTTTGAACAGCATGTGATATTGGTCGGGAGAATATCCGTGTTGCCGACAGCAATCATGGCTGCCTGGTGTCCCCGCCCAAGGCCTCGCTGCCTCAAGGTCATTCACCCCCTTGCAGCGAGCCGTTTCACACGCGCTGACCTGAAGCCACTCGACCGACTTCAGCTCCGACAAACCGGCATGCGCACAGTCGTACCCGCCGACTTAACCCGCCTTCTCGGCGGTAATTACAACATAACCCACTGAACGACCAGCCCTCTACATGTCCGTGTTCCACATCGATTCCAGGTGACAGTCAAAACCAAACAAAGACAGATATAACAGCTGACTGTCCTATCGAAAGTTCAAATGGACGGGACTCACTCTCAATGGCCACGAAGGCCGCGCTAGATGAACCTGATGAAACTGCTAGTGGCTTCGAAGTGTTTGCGTCAAAATCGTACTCGATAAAGCACCGCGGACCAGTTTTTGCGTAGCCAATGAAGCAGATGCCGCCCGGTGGCCTTCTGCGTTTTTCATTAAACGGACACTCTTCATCCACTTTCGAGGACGGATGTTCGATCCAGGAGTTTATACGTCCTAGAAGTTTTCTTTAACAGTTAAAAGGTTAAAAGCGCCTCCCAAACTTACAAGCATCCCACACTTTTATTCCAGAAGCCTTCTTCATTAAATAGTCTGCATCTGAAGTCGGCATCAACTCGGTCCCATCGAACTTCCCGCAGCATCGCTTCCGCGTGCACCAATCGAGTTTCTTCAACTTCGCCGGTTGAACTTACCCAAAGCTCAATCGATCTGACGACACTCTCCTCACTGTCCACTATGAGGTCGTCTGCACGCAGTATCGACAAGACAGCGTCAGCTGGCAGCTGGATGAACAAGTCACTCGCAACCGTGGCTTCAAGGGTTGTCTTTATATGCTGAAGACAGGCGTTCACTAGCTGTTCGCTCTTAAGCAATTCTGCGAGGTCCCAGTATTTTTTTAAGTTTTCAGCGTTGAACCTGGGAGTCCATTAGGGCTCGATAACACCTATCTGGCGGCCATAAAACTCACCGCCCACTCTTCCACGCGAGGCATTACGAGTTGCTGCGACAGCACAATCAGACCAGTAGCATTGGCCTCATTGACTTCCAGCTGGCCCGTGTACACATAGTCGATTAGTGGTTTAGCGACTCTGCGCGGTAGTCGTAATAAAACACGAGTGATTACTCAGAGGAAACCTTTGGCCACTCAAGGACAGCCTTTTTTTGCGTATGCATTGTACATAAGGATTCACGTAGGGAGGGTACTCTGCAGACCAAAACCAACCTGTGTACAGGCAGCGAGACGTCGTCCTGTAGCTTAAAATGAGAAAAGAACAGTGAAGTTCATTTACAAACTTACCTCTACAGTCAGATCGGTCAGTTCGCCTGTCATACGAAGGTTGTTTAACTCGGGAAGACATCGTACAAGTGCCACTTTGTCCTCAAATGACTGCGTCTCCTGGTTGGACATTGAATGTGCAAGATCGGATGGCTAAAAATTCGGTCACGTTTAGTTATTTGTGATAGTAAAATTCGATGAAACTTAGAGCATTTAATTTCCCGCGATCCGACCACGTCCAGAAGTCAAACTTCGTACGCGATGGTATAGGCGGACTTGATGGCGGGACTGAATCCGCGACTGCTATGCCTTTTTTTATAAGCGGAACTTCGAAGATGGAAAAATACCACAGCTTTTTGTAGCAAAACAAACTGTGCCTATGTTAACGAGCCCGCCAGCAACCTAAATTTGATAGTGTTGTTGAGAAGTTGCTCATTTTGTAGGTTTGGACTCATCGCTTAAGAATTTTTCGGTCTTAGTGGGCCATAGATATTGAAGGTTAAAGGTGACGTTCAGCAAATTTATACCAACTGACCCTGCCAACACATGGCCCCGGGGGCAAGACGGGGCTAGGCCCCGTCCAAATTTCCATCCTTTCTAATAACGTCATTCTGCATTATTTTCGACTGTTTGAGCTTTATTATCGTGAAATATAAGCTTTTTAACTTGTATAATGTGTTTTCAGTCGTATGACATCGAGAGAACCTTTCGTTTCACGAAGGCAAATATTGGCCTTGTTTAAGTCGGCCATGTACCTACGCACGTGGACTGCACTTCTACGCTGACTGATCCATACAGCTGACCGACTCCTGCTTCTTACTTAGCTAGTTTTGACTGCAGTACGTTATCCATTTACTTATTTATTTCTTCCACGCGATGCAATATGTCATTGTAATAAGTAAATGCTTTATTTTAGTATCTATAATCGTAATTTAAGTTATTTATAAGAATGGCACGTAATCTGACTGCTTGTGTGTACTATATAGCGGTCTAATATATGTTAATGCTATTTATATGTTAATTCTAAGCAAATATGGATAGGAAATACTGGGGACTTCATCGCAGTACAATGCACAGCATGATTAAGCGGGCGAAGATGGCGTACTATGCCGCCACCGATGATCCCTCGCTCCCGTCTACGTCATCTCTCGTAACGGAACCGTCACCCGAACCATCGATGCCGCACCTTAGCCCTGAATTGAGCATTGGTAGGTGTTATATGGTATGCTATAAGACGATGTAGACGACGACCAGGTTGCAGATGAAAGCTCGAACCCGTTCAGTGGCAATTGCTTCCTGACAGATTTGAGGGAATTCTGCTTAAGTGTCCAACTACCGCAGGCAACATTCAAGTTGTTGTTCCAAATGTCGCGTAAATAACACCCAGATGTGCCCAAGGACCCGCGAACTCTCATGCAGACACCGCGAGCATGCGTTACTGAGTCCCTCTCTAACGGCAGCTACGTCCACCTGGGCCTTAAGCGCGGTCTGTCGCCTTTTTTACCGAAAATACGGGTTCAACTCCACATTGACGGAATGAAGTTGTTTAAAGGGTCTGGCCAGTGCCTATGGCCAATCCTCGGTCGAGTCAGCTATGCTGTCCGTGGACTGCCGTTTGTTGTTGGAGTGTTCCCTGGTTCCGGCAAGCCTGAGCCTTTGGATGTATTTATTGGCCAGTGCATCTCAGAACTGAAGGATATTCTGACCAGCGGACTTCAGGTCCCGGATACGGACGCTGTAGTTAGAGTTGAGCTGGCCAACGTCATCTGCGACACACCTGCTCGGTCCTACGTCCGGCAAGTAAAAGCGCATAATGGCTATTACGGCTGCGACAGGTAATTGCTATAATGGACGAAAATGTAATCCTCCTAGGTGTTTTCATATGGGTAGTTCCGTGGCAAACCGCATGACGTTCCCGGTACACAGCGGGCGTCTGCGGGATGACAGGTCATTTCGCACGAGAAGTCAGGAGCAGCACCATAAAGGCACCTCACCTTTCGAGGACTTGCCTATTGATATGGTTGCTACGTTTCCAATTGATTACATGCACCTCGTTTGTCTTGGTGTCATGCGGAAGCTCCTACATATGTGTCGGCTCGCAACGGGGAAACTGTCCATTACTATTAATGCGTCCATTAAACAATGCAGTCAATGTCTGCCTGCTGCAGACCTCGGGACATGTTCGAGTTTTCGGCGCTATCACTATATTTAGAGGGTGGGCAATACCTAACAAAGGTAAGGGTTATGGTTGTTCGTCGACCAGAAGTAGAATAGTTAAACCTGCTGTGCGCAGAACTAGGAAAGGGATAATACTGGTAACGTAAATGAGGGGTTAATATCACGGAGAGCGTGGCGTCTCCCTGCGCGTTTTTTTCGAGGACGAGGCCAGATGGGGCTGGGCCTCGCCTAGCCCCCCAGGGCCAGACGGGGCTATCGGGTCCCTAGCCCCGTCGTAGTACCGTCATTGCCCCGCCCAAACGGGGCCCAGCCCCGTCTGGCCCCGGGGGCTAGGCGGGGCCAGACGGGGCTGGTGCTAGCAGGGATATCTCGAAAAATGGATAACTGCTTGATTTCCTCTCGAAGTAGTGTACAACCTGGGACTGCATTACATTTCTCACCCAAAAATTACTTGCTTCTTTGATTGTATAATGCAAAATCATGTAACACTTCTACTGATTATATATGGTCTAAATATAATTTATCCAGATTATATAAAATTAGAACAATTCTGTGCTCCATAAAATCTTCTTATATCCCAACATAAACGCAATCATAAAAACAATAAGCATTATCGTTCGACTTCAAAAAGATGAGTGCGCGGGTAACGTAGGATTTCTGAAGGAAGTACGTGCGGACGCACGGAGAAAGGCGCAAAGCGTCTTTCGAAATGTTGGGAGCGAAGACGACTGACGGCCTTAATAGTTCAGTTGAAATAAACAAATTAAAGCGTAAATTTGCATTCGAGGAAAAAATGCGTCACATGGTGTATAAAGCTGAGAACAAAGTAAAATGGCGAAATTATTTTTATTTTTACAGATTGGTCTTGTTTTTAGGTTCAGACAGGCAGTCAGCAATGGAGTGAGCATTTTCGACAGAGGAATTGAGTCGATATAGAGGAAAGCATGACTACGGCAAACAGTCAACAAAATATTTCAAATCTCGTTCACTGCATTACAGATCAGAAATAAATTTGTTTAGGGTGTGCTGTACCATAAAGTAAACAACGAGAAAATTGTTCACTTATTCGTTACAATGCTGGACAGTTGAGCACTTTGCAAAATGGGTTTGCCAAGGGTTATGAATATGCTTTGATGGATCGCACAGTTGCAGAATCTTCCAACACGACGGACACATTTGTTTCCATCATTTTACTGCGCACACCCCATGTACGGATATTATTTTCTGACTACATCAAGATCTCGTTGACATCGGAGTAGTTGGCTTACGACGCTTTTTGTGAGATCATTGGCACTAAACCTAAAAATACTGGCATTTTTTCGGTGTCGCATTTATGGTCATTCCACATCATTGGAGTGTCGAGTGTTCAGATATATTTCGCCAATAAATAAAGTTGTTAAAAATTCGAGAATTTTTTCTTTGGTAGACCAAAGTTTGAAGAGAATTGTTGTTTCTAACTTAATGGTCTTCAACAGTCAAGTAATCAGCGTTCGTCTATCGGTACCCAGACATGGTTTAAGATGGGTGCTCGTCAAAAATATTATCATTTTACTGTTATGTGAATCGTAGTACTGCGGATCGTGGTTCACACCGCATGATTCCGTGGCATACCTTAAGGCATGACTTAAATTGTAAATTTAAACTGGATATGGGTATCGGCCCTTGCCGAATTTTGTCGTTTGTTTTCCCACGACTGAAAATAAACGAAAGCTATCTAACCCCTTCTCATAGTGACTTCTAGCAGTTCTGCCGAAAACAGGCCTCTCGTCATTATATAGTGGCCTTATTTGACGTGTAATCGTATTGTATCTATGTATTAAGCGACGTTGGATAATTCGCGAACTGCAGTGATCTGATTAATGGAATACACGTGCGAAATGTGTAAACAGAAATACATTCTCGCGTGGCATGAATTCTTATACTCTCCTAATAATCGAGTTCGGTCTGCAAAATATTGTTAGTTTTTCAACATTAAAACTATTAGAAGAATCTGGCGCTAGGCGAAAGAGCGCATACTGAGATGAGTATGACAGAAGTATGAAATAAATTAGGTCAACATTGTGAACATGTAAAGGTTAAATACTTGAGGTCGGCACCGCAAATGATTCTTAAGAAAAAAATTGTGGATATCTGCATAGTTGTAATTTGGCATATGTAAGGAAGATAGGGAGGACCCTACAGATATACGGATGAATAGCATGCATCAACTTGCATAACAACTGTTTCAGTCACTAATACCAAGATAATATGCGACCATGAAGAAAAAACCGGCGAAAGCTTCTACTAGAGGTCGTAAAGGTTTCTGCAAGGAAAACAAAATTTGGGATAATGATCTATCTTTCAACAATCCGGTTATAGCGGAAATAGACTCGCTCTCCATGGCTGACATAGTTCACCTTTGACTTAGATTGGTGGCCTCGCATAGTCATTGTTCGTAGCATCTCAAAAATATCAACAGACTGAGGAGCAAATTCCGGCCCTACAACGATTTTGAAAGCTATGTTCATATCTGTTCTACATTGTCTCTTAGGAAAAAGAAATATATTTAGTTATTCGGCTTCTCTGATGACAGAATTTAACTAGTCCACGCAACCGCCGTACTCAGTGTTAGTAGGTGTGCAATATGCTCTTGGAAATGAATGTGATCATAAAGGAAGTGGTTGGTGTCGGTCGGATAAGCCAGATTTGTAGGGGATTCATAAGTGAAGAATTAAATTTAGGCCTTGGGATATATAGGTGACATCACCAACGATAAAAATGATCAGTGGACAAGGCGAGACATCCCTAGCTTATCGTAACTCTGACCGAATGTCGGAAAATTTACAAGGCAGCATATACGATTTACAGGTAAGGGAACTCGTAGCATACCGCTCCTGAGATCTAATTTTTATTTCTACAGCCTACATTGTTAACGCAGGAGAATTAAACTTGCCCTTGATTTAAGCTTAGTCGTCATCGAGTCGTCCCTCATGACGACAGATCTATGGCTGCAGGTCTAAACAAGATAGTTTCGACGTGAGTTACAAAGCCGCTGGGGTCAGTCATGTTGACTTGAGGACGATTCGCGTTACCTGACGGGCGCTATAAAAACACAGTATTGCTTACGGGACGCGAAATGGGAAATACCGTCACATATAGCGCGTAACCAACAAATTCGGCTTTAGTGCGCAAGTCGGGGAGGCAGAGACTACTCAGGTACTTGGCCATGCCGGTCGATTGAGGGATTATAAGACATGATGCTCGTCTATGGGTGAGAAGAAGTTGATGCATTCCATCTGGGCAAGGACACGGATTTCGGTTCCATGAAGTGTGGGGCGACGAGTGAGAGGCGACTGACACATGTTAACAGGAAACAGATACCGACCAAAAAGACTGATATTTCTCCAAAACTAACAACTATTTCAGCGGCCGTTTGCGAAACGTTCACCAGTTAAGTAGGCCAAATGACATGTACATCACTTATACCATATCTAACCGCCTAACTTCGCAGGAAGGCTCAATAGAAGCCAAAAGCCATGCGAAATCTTAAGCTTAGGCAAGCTACCTGAAATTTCCAATATCGATAAACATATGCTAGCATATATTCTGGTAATCTCCCATCCTAAACATTAAATCATCGTTGATATTATTTAAGCCGTTTTCGCATCAGACACATAATGCGCGAACGCAGTCTCAGCCGTCGAGCCGATCTATTTCAATTTCAATTATTTTATTAAAGACCCGTCGGGGTCCCATCAAAGCAAGTAAAAATAAATTTACATGCAGATTTTCGACGATGTAGGCAAAATCTGCACAAAGTGCAATGCATAGTTTTTGAGGTTAGAAGTTCATTAAGCAAGATGAAAATGAAAAAAACGAGGGGTGAAAAAATAACTCCAAAGCAAAATTTAAAAATGATTGTAGTAATTTGACAGGAGAAAAAAAAACCCCTCCGAAAAATAGCATCAGATAAAAAAGGGAGGACTGGCCTGCATGTGGCGGTACAAAATGGAAAAAAGCCCGACATCAACATGGCCGAAATAGATGTCAGCTGTATATGGCATTGTGTAACGGATTTCATAAAATGGTACGTAGGCGGGTTGGTCAGGACTGGCCTGTATCGCCTTGAATAAGAAAAAAATAAGTGCCGAAATTGAAAACCAGTTTCAAACCGATAGGAACCCAGATGCGGTCGGTTTCATTCAACCGAGTACATCCGAGGATGGGGCAAGGGAGATGCGACCAGACTACTAGTATATGGCGAATAGAGAAGGCTTTGTTAAGACCGCCGATGGAGCGCATTCTGTAAGGGCATGATGACAACCACTCTCGAGGCGACAAGAACCCAGATGCGGTCGGTTTCATTCAACCGAGTCCATCCGAACATGGGTGGAACATGGGGGGAGGGAGAAGCGACCAAACTACTAGTATATGGCGAATATAGAAGACTTCGTCAAGACCGCCGATGGAGCGCATTCAGTAAGGGCACGATGACAACCAGTCTCGAGGCGACAAGAACCCAGATGCGGTCTGTTACATTCATCAGAGTCCATCCGACCAGATTACTGGTATATGGCTAATATAGAAGGCTTCGCCAAGAGCATCGATGGAGCGCATTCAGTGAGGGCATCAGAAGATCAGTCTCGAGGCGATAGGAACCCAGATGCGGTCGATTACATTCATCCGAGTCCAACCGAGGATGGGGGAAGGGAGATGCGACCAAACTACTAGTATATGGCGAATACAGAAGGTTTCGCCAAGAGCGTCGATGGCGCGCATTCTGTGAGGGCACGATGCATGAACTAAAAAATTGGAATAATTAACATTTCTGGTGAGGGATCTTAGGAAGCGAGACTACTCATAAAGAAAGGAAACGTGAACAGATACGGAAATTTAATAGCGGCATACTAAATTCCCGGTGGCCCTTTCTCAGTGTCATAGAAAAAGTTGTCTGGGAAGGATGAGGAAAATAAAAGTTTAATCGAGTCAGTATTCAGATAAAGGCGTAGCCTTCACTTAAAGGTGTGTAGATTTTCTGAAGATCTTATATTTATTGGAAGGTTATTCCAGAGGAAAGTATACCTGGAAGCGAAAAAAGGGAGCGCTTAGATGTGGAGGACGCTGGAAGAGGTATAATTAGAGACGAGTTGCGAAGATTGTATGGGCGACTACTAGGGGTAAGTGTTGGAATCCGAGAAAAATTTGAACTATGATTAATGCGAAAGAGGAGACAGAAGCCCGCTTCTAGTCTTCGAACCAATAAAAATTTTAGGTTAGTTAGTTGGCACCTATCTGAGTAGGAGATATTGGGATGTTCCCTATCTAAAAGTTTTTTTGAAAAACGTCGTTGGACATTTTCAATTTTTAAACGACTGGCTTCATTCATCAAACCAAAGAATGGGCAACAATACTCGAGAATGGGAAGTACAAACATACGATAGAGCCTTAATTTAATTTCAGGAAGATAGAAATTGTAAGAAATAAAGCCACAAATCTGGGCAGCTTTGGCTGTAATTCTGTCAGCGTGCGGCGAGAGATCAAGATTACTAGTGTAGCTTAAACGCGCCCAAAAAGATTGCTGATAAAAGCGAACAGGCGAGTCCCAGGTAGCAGTTCAGAAGATGAAGATGCGATCACTGAGACAAGACGTTTATTTGCCTGACGTTTTGGATTCTCACTCGAACCCATCATCAGAGACATTCGCAGATAGAGGTGAAGGTGGCACCAGGAGTGCAGTATTTATAGCACGTGGCTGCCGTGGGACCGTATGCGCACTGCAATTAACAGTTCTCACAATCGCCGCTGGGGTCGTAATTGATGCGGCGGTGGCTTGGCGGTCTGAGTCCGAGTCGTTAATTGCCGCGATTTCGTCATCCCTGCTGGATAGTGGTGTGACGATTGCTCGGCAAACTGGCTCACTGTCACCGCGATAATTGCTTACCCGCGCCCTCCCCACGTGACTGATTCTCCTGCCCAGGGGAAATCGCAATACGGAATAGGCCACCGGGAGGTCATTGTGTTTGTTGATGGATTGCGGGCCTGAGAACCATGACTCGAGCAGCTCGCGGCTCAGGCGGTTGTCACCCCTTGCGAGGATTTCGGCCTCTTTAAATTTGAAATTATGGCCGGGTCCCGTCGAGTGTGCTGTCACCTGAGAGTTAGCGTCTCCCCGCCTCACTGCTGCTGCGTGCTCGGCAAGTCGCGTACGGAGTAATCTCCCAGTTTCTCCGACATAATTGCTTTGTCCGCAACTACACCAGATCCGGTAAACGACTCCAGAGGTTTCCTGCCGTGGCAGCGGGTCTTTTGGCCTCATAACTTGGCGCTTATGGTTGCTTCCGGCCTGTGTGCAACCCCAACTCCAAGTGGAGTGAGAAGACGACTGACGGCTTCCGAGACGTTCTTCACGTACGGAAGAGCCCGCCAAAATTTGGGGCTAGTTGGATTTGGTCTCTGGTGTCCTTCTCGTATGCACTGGTTGACAAAGTTGCGCGGGTAGCCATTGGCTCTCATTACCCGTCGAAGATATTGTAATTCAGCAACCTTGTCTTCCATTTCACTGCAGTGCGTCTCAACACGCCGGTATAGCGCCCTTACGCAACTGCGTTTGTGACTGTTCGGGTGGTTGCTATTGGAGTTCAGTATTTGCGTCGTATTTGTCGCTTACCTGAACATTTTGGTTTTTAGGCCACCACAAACTTTGCGGCAGGCGAGGACATCCAGGAAGGCAAGCTGATTGTTTTCCTCCTCCTCCATCGTAAATTGAATGTCCGGGAAGACGGCGTTGAGTTGTTCTTTGAAAGTCAGCACCTGATCTCGTTCGATGACGACGAAGGTGTCATCCACATACCGAGCCCAGAATTTCGGTCTGTGGTGTCGGAAAACCAGCGACTCCAGCCGTTGAAGGACCGCCTCGGCTATGAGTCCCGAAATCGGCGAACCCATTGGCATTCCCTTCACCTGCTCGTAGATTGTTCCGTCGAATGTAAAGTGCGTCTTGAGACGAAACTTCAGCAGCTGGATGATTTGGGCGTGTCCGAGGCGATTCTCCGTTTCGTCGTACTTCTCTCGTAGGAGTAATTCGATTGTCTCGACTGCCAGGTGCTGCGGGATAGAAGTAAAAATGGACGTGACATCAAAGGAAACCATGATATCGCTTGGCAGGAGACTTACTCCTTTAAGTTTCTCCAATAATTGCGTTGACGAGCTGACTGTGGTGTTCAAATCGGAGATCAGAAACTTGAGACGTTGGAACAGCCACTTTGCCAGTCCGTAGGTTGGAGTGCCCTTTAGTTACACGATAGGCCGGAGAGGAGCGCCCTCTTTGTGCACTTTTGGGAGACCTTAGAATCGGGCTAGGGCCGTTTGGTTTGTGCTCTCGCCATGCGTCGGTCGATTGGCGATATTGCACCTGAGTTCTCCATTGCCAACAGCTTTGCGTTAATCTCGCGTGTCAGCGTTTTCATGGGGTTTGATTCTCATGGCACATAGGACTGACGATCTTCCAACAAGCTTTTGGCTTTTTGATTGTAGTCTGTCCTGTCCAATACGACCGTTGAACGCCCCTTGTCCGCAGGCACGATAACGAGGTCGTTGTCGGCCCTGAGTTCCTTAAGCGCATCGCGCTCGACCTTGGAAAGCACATCGCGCGGCCTATGAGCCATGAGGAGGGAGGATACTTGGTGTCGAATGAGGTTCTTCGTTTCGTCTGTTGCTCCCGTCTGGCTGAGGATTGATTCCACTGCTGCGATCATGTTGGCAGGTTTGGCATCGGCTGTATTGAATGAGGCCTCATGCCGTTAAACCTGCATTTGTTCCTCCGTCAGCTCCTTTGACGACAAGTTGTGCACCAGTTTGTCGTTCTTGGATGACATTGGAGCAGGAAGCTTAGGAAATTTGCTCTCTAGGGCTGCTTCTCGCGTTGCTTTATGTTCGCGGCTTCGTTCGGCCAGCCTCTGCTGAAGCAGTTTTATGCCGTCCTCGCCCATGAACTCGCAGCACCTTGCTTTCTCTTGGTCAATCCTCTGACGTTATTTGCGAATCCGTGAGCGACAGTCTTGAAGGAGCACTCGGATCATTCTTCGGCCGTGCTGAAGTACTGCGCGTCTCGCCAGCTCTGTGTTGACCGGAGGTTTGTATGAAACGCACTTCGGCAGCACATTGTTGTCGAGACCCCTGTGCAGAAATCGAATCTGCGCATATGTTGACGACACTCAAAGGGCAGAGGTTTCCCACCGTCGAGCCGATCGGAGCGCTTCGCGCCCAAAAAGATTGCTGATAAAAGCGGACAGGCGAGTCCCAGGTAGCAGTTCAGAAGATGAAGATGCGATCACTGGGACAAGACGTTTATTTGCCGGACGTTTCGGATTCTCACTCGAACCCATCATCAGAGACATTCGCAGATAGAGGTGAAGGTGGCACCAGGAGTGCAGTATTTATAGCACGTGGCTGCCGTGGGACCGTATGTGCACTGCAATTAACAGTTAATTGCAGCACCTCGTGCAAAATGCACAGGTTTATTTATTTCAACTCGTTTTGATGGGATCCCGACGGGTCTTTAATACAAAATATTTATTTATTTTACCTATCAACTCCGTCTACGTAACTGACAGGCAGGCGAGTTCAGCAACCAAGAAAGACGCAGTCCACCGTGTGTCCCACAGCAGTGTGGAAGCAGGGACGGTGACTTACGCATGAATTCGCTTATAGTCATAACAGACTTGTGCTACAACCACCACACTCTGGCTCCCTTCGTCCACATGCGTCGCGTGCCAGGACAAAGTCAGGAAGGTCGCAGACGGGAGAGGGTCCAGGTGGCTGACGAAGCAAAACAACCAGCCTTCGCGTGACACACACGACCTGGTCCCCACACAGTAGGCCAGAACTTAACACATAAGAATGGGAGTGAAATAATCTCCAAAGTAAGTGATAGCACAGCACCTGAGCAGAGCATTCAATGGTTAACTGAGACTGATGGGGAGAAGAAGGTCCGCAGACAAAGTTCGCCTACTGATGATCGAAATTTCAATGAGTGACATCATACTTTGATTGTGCTTGCAAATTCGAAGATGTCACAAATGGCTAGTCGGAAAACAAATTCGGTCACGATGTGATGCAACTAAAATGTGTGCTTCTGGATTAGCCCTTAGCACAGAAGACGAGTCCTATCCTTCTTATGCGGTTTATGAAAGGATAAGCAGCTTCAATGCCCATTCATTTTGCGAACCCTTCATGGAATTTCTACGTGGCACTTTTTGCCGTTAATGATGCGGATGCTCTAAGCCTGCTCGATGTGCGCCAAATGCAAATGCAGAATTTTTTAAGGACTTAGAGGAGAATTTTTCTTAAAACGTCCCAGAAAATTTTCTTCAGTGCTTTCTATACATATATTAGGCCTTTCGCCATCTTCGAAAAACAAAAGGCACACAACGACAGCTTGTTAGAACTGATAAAAATCCCATCACACACCACTCATTTTCGTGGATATTTAGTGGCCAAACTCCGGGCGCATGTTGGAACTCCGAGTCCCTCGCGAGTACCAGCACGCGCGCACCAGTTGCAGTCTAGTCCTCGACCAGTGTTGACTGTCCAAATTGACTTATCGTATTCGAGGCTGACTCGGTCGTGTTCTTGCTGAAGGCGGTGGACGACTGCTCCACCGTCTCACATTCGCGGACGCCAGTCTCGAGGCATCGGACGTGCCCTTGTCTGACTGCTCTCTCCTACCAATTTTATGCTTAACTGTTTTGTACGCAATACGACATCCTCCCAACTGACGTCACACTTCTGTTCAGAACTGGCTGGGGTCTCATTATGGCCTAAGCAACTGCGATGGATATGGCAGTCTGGGTTGGACTTGCGTACACTGACTGAGTAATAGGTCAAGCTCGTCCTGCTTTGCTTCGATATTCAATTTAGAGCCCCGCGGGCAAGCGCAAAGGTGTCGGTTGCATGGAAAGAATGAATCTTTCTCCCAACAGGAGTGGAAATATGTGGTGGTGATCGAGGAGGTTGGACGCGGTTAGCCGAGATTGCTAGATGTGGCATCTGAATGGGGTAGCACAACAGGCAACGGGGTAAATTCAACAGGGAAAACATTAAAGGAGCCACCATTAACTGTGTCGTCCCCAACAAAAAAGATCAGATCTAATGTCAACTTGGACATTCAGGTGCTGCACATTGCGCCAGCAGATGCAGGACAGAGTAAAGCCATGCATTATTGTAACGAGGTTGAAGTTGGTGGAGGACTATTCAGATTAGCCGAATTGCCGAAGAGGTTTGCCGTTGCCGAATTCAACAGCGGCAAAACGTACTACTTCCTTGGCGAGGGCAAGCACGCATACAAGCATGGGGATTTGCATCATTCCTAGTTACAGAATCCGAAGAAGTACTAGCGTTGCATCGAGATTGCAATGCAGACATTTGAGTGGGCTGAAGCTGTCCGCTCTCACATCTGCCAACATGGCCGCCTACTCATGTCGCCTTTCTGACCGCCCCAAGCTCACTGACAATTTATGACTGTGAGAGCTCGACGCAAAAGACGCCGCATATTTCGCGAACTGACTGAAGGCGAACACGAACAAGATGGAAGCGTCCACACGCGCTGTGGACTAAGAACTTCAGCGACGGACGACTGTTCGACCGTCGAAACCGACGATGTTTACCGTGGGCTTCACAGCAAGGCGAGGCAGACACGCTGACTCGTGTGTGAGCTAGTTTATAGTGGGGGTGGGCTTGCGCAATATCGACTGCACTCTCTCCTTCTCCTTTACCTGGGCGCGGTGTCATGATATAGCCAAGACCGAAGGCGAGAGAGCGCGCAGGTAGGCGACATGGCGGGACTGCACCTAGGCGTACCAAAACACTCCTTGCCACACAACAAACACGACCAGAACTTGAAACAACAGAAACATCACAACGAGTCAGAAGAACGAGGATGACTGGGCAGCCATGTTAACGATCTGTATACATCGCTGGAGCGCAAGCGCACATACCGGCGGGAAACCAGGTGCAAGAGAACTGCCGGCGTACAGCAGGTTTGGCAGTCATGGCATAGCAGACGCTCACAACGGTTGACACTCAGACACACACTTACGACTGAAGAGACAGCTTGTGGCAGCTACTTCCTTAGCTCCGCGTTCGCTATTTCCACTTAGAAAAGCTTCTCCAACCCAGTCCGTCTTACTTGAATTGTGATTTGGGAACCTTCCTGTTGTCGAGCATGAAAACTTTTGGGTCTGTTTCTACCTCCGACAACTACTAACAACTTAAGAACTGCAACTTTCCTGCTTCCGAATCTGCGAGGCAGTCAGGCGCAGACAATGGAAGCTGTTTCACAAGTTTCGGCATTTGAATCTACCTCTCCTCCTGCTACGCAACTTATTCGGACGACCGAGCATCCAATGAAGATGTGCGGCATCGCAAGGCCGAACTTTGCCGTACTCGCAACTTCACCAGACTCTCCTACAAAACACCCAAAGGCTCCTCTGACGCCCTGAATGCCCAGTCTACACCGTCATCTCGTTCCAACACGGCCGCCCCTTGTTGGCATCACATCACTTCTGGTGAACCCTAATGAGAAAATGAACAGCGCCTCAGCTCCTATTTCTCAGCAGCCAATTTCTGTGCTACCGCATATTACCTAACACTCTGTAATTATTCACAGAACGTTTATCCGCAGATCTACCAAAACATAACACAGAGTGGTTTTAATCGGTCGTTTGGACTGTCTTCGAAAGAAAAATAAAATAGTACATGCACAGTTTCGAAAGCATCAAAAAACCTGAGTTCACAAATAGAATACAATTAACAGGCGTTGCATATGGTCTTGGATACAGCCAAATTAACCAGAAGACGCAAGAATACACTAAGCATTCCGAAGTTTCGTAAATGAATTCAAAAGTTCGGTCAAGTAACTAGGCAGAACGATGACAAGATAAATAATATAAGCGGATATTTTGGCTTCCCAACAGGTCATCATAACAAATTCGTCTGTCGCAGGCGACAAGGGCAACTGCTGGCCAGAAAGGATGCTGCGGTGACTTGGGCTTAGGCATCTTAGTACCTATCCTCAAGAAGGGAGATAAGAGGAGATGCGACAGCTACCGCGCCATAAGTCTCATCGACGTTACTGCAAAGATCTTCGCTATTGTCCTACTCAGGCCACTACAGGCTAATCGTGACACAAGGACGAGGCCCAACAAAGCCGGATTTCGTGCTGCACGTGGATGCGCGCCCCAGGTATTTACAATAAGGCGCATTCCGAATTTCGCCATAGCTACCAACAACCGACGGCTGTCTGCTTCGTTGACTTTGCCGCCGCGTTCGATTCCGTTCATCGTGAGTCCCTGTGGCAGATATTGGTGCTAGATGGTGTATCGGCAAAAATCTTTGCCATGATCAAGGCCTATTATCGCTCCACTACTGCGAGAGTCCTATTCCTCAACAATCTTTCCCAAACTTTACGTATTCATTTTGCCGTTCGACAGGGTCGTATCCTGTCACCCATTCTGTTTAACTATGCTATTGACTGGATCCTCGAGAGGGCCGTACAGGAGGATGACGGCGTTGAGTTTGCATCCGGACACCGACTGAGTGATCTCGACTATGAGGATGATATCGCCTTACTTGCTTCAAGTTTTGGTGCTCTGCAGTCTATGGTGTCACGGGTGAGCGTGGTCGGTAAATCAGTCGGTTTATCATTAAACGCTGGGAAGACCAAAGGGCTTTCAAGCTGCATCCCTGATCAGGAGAAGGCACTCCTCGGGATTGATGGCTGTCAACTTGAATAAGTAGGCAGTTTTAAATACCTCGGGGCTAGGCTGCTGCCTAATGGACAGAGTAAGGACGATATTATTTCCCGAATCGATGCTGCCCGCTGGATTTTCTCAAGACTTCGGAAATGGGTTGAGCTGTCTAGATCTGCTGCAGCGGATCGTCACGCGTGGAGAGGTACAGCTCGTGGCATCATCGAGGCCGGCTAGATCAGGCATGATCGTAGCCGTACCAAGTACATATACAATAATCGACCACAGTGAGAACAGGTTACGAAAATATCGATAGACCTGGAGACCGTACCTCAGACCTCCGATGCACCTGCATTTCAGTGGTTATGCGGACGTTATACTAAATTAAATGGGGGCTGACATGTTTGACTAAGGTACTCAGTGGGTCGAGGCTTCGCTTCGATGGTTCATTTGCAATTTTTTCTGGCAAACCGCAGTTCGTGCCTATTTACCATACAAAAAAATCAAAGGAGTGACTGGCAATGGAGACTTACTAGTTTGTAAGAAAAAAAGCCCTCCCAACTAATTCGTTAAGCTCAGACTAGACGGTTAAAAACCGTTTTGTTGATTCCTTCGTGAGGAGACCTCGACAACAGATCCCAGGAGACTATGGATGCGAGTTGACAGGATACCCATGATGACCTGCATGCCAGAAGTTGGGTCAGAGCCTTGTCGCATAGGTGGTTCCACTTCGTTAGTGAGAAAAAGTACACTTTGTCTTGAACAGGAGCTAGCACTTTGAAGCGTACGTTTTTGGATACGAACGATGTGTCTCTTCAGGTTTCCATTGCGGGCGAGGGCTTTGCCACAAATGACACACGTGCACTCATGCAGTTCTAAAAGGAAAAGGATGAAAGATACACCCGACTCACTTTTTCCGGGATTCTATGGCATTGCAAGCACATTTCAACACAGTAAATCGCGAGGTCTTTGATTACATAATGGAGGACGCTCAGGAACTCCAAGGAGATAACGAAGCTGCAAAACACGAGACTTGGTGGATGGTGCATAACCGTCTGTTGCGTATTCACGAAAGCCCACAACTACTAGAATTCGGAGCAATTTGAAAGTCCACCGTCCATTAGCGTCAAACGGCACGGGAGAGTCCCACGCCCAAGACAGCCCCATCGGTTCGTGCTGATTTGCAGTATGACATTCGGGCGTCGAGATCGCGGCTTAAACATGGCATTGAAGACACTTGAAATAAGCGGCAAATTCGTATGAGGACTGGAAAACTGCTCATAACCGGGAAGAGAGATGCACATCGACAACTTTATGCTTTTGTTTCACAGTCAGTGGAGAAGAGGCCAACTTCCAGTTTACACGATAATCCAATGACTTGCGACAGGGCTCCGGTTTAGTGCCTAATCTGAGTGGCAGTCAGCGTGTGTGTATTCGATCAGTGGAGAAAGTGTATTGTGTTCCTACCGGATAACAAACAATTTCATATCCTGTCGACCTGACTTTGCACTAGACGGTTACCTGCAAATACACGCGTTTGAGAAAGTTACGGGTAGGGTTTGTAGTGTGTCAAAAGCCAGTGCTGAACAGATGTGTCACCGCACAGCTCAGCTCATAAAGAAGGACCATTCCAGACGCCGGGGGGATTGACTTATTAGGCTGCTTAAACAGGACATGGGAACAGGTACGCCCTGCCCAAGTAATAATGGTGTACCTGCTAAGGGCAGAATATTCCCGTGTCCCGACTCTAACAATAACCCTGGTATAAAACTAAGCTGTTTTCCTAATCTAGACCATAACCTTACGCTAAACCTCAAATCTGCAGTTAACATAAGCCCCTCCCTTAACTCCGAACTTTATTCTGACTTGCGTTACCGTTAAATTTAAACTTGGTTCTTATCCTAACCCTAAGCAGAAGTTGATTCAAAGACACCCGTATTAAAAACAGCTCCTGCTTGCATATTCTGTTTAGGGGGCCATATAACGCTGGCATCTAGTTTGCATAACAATACGTAAGCAAAAACCCTTCGCATTTTGACCCAATATTAACATGCTCGGCGACCGCGTTGGGACTCCAACCCTCGGCAACAAGGGTAAGGCTTCAAGAAGGAGACAAGATCGGAGTCGTTTATCGGATCTGGTGCAGTGGCGGACAAAGCAACTACGTCGGAGTAACCGGAAGACAGCTCCGAACGAGAATGGCCGAACACGCGGCAGCGGTGCGGTGAACACTCTTCCCAACACCGGGGTCGAGGCGTCAGATGATCGAGCAATCATCACGCCAACATCCAACGCACGTGATGAAATTGCAGCAATTATCGACTCGAATGTCGGCCACCAAGCAATGATCACACCAAGTGCGACAATCCCGGATGAAGGGGGGAGCCGTGAACGTTCATAGGTATGCGGTAGCATGGCTACTGCATCCTATAAATACCGCAGCCCCTTGTGCAACAACCACCCGTTTCTGCTCTTTTGTCTCTGATGATGGATTCGAGTAGGAATCCGGAACGTCAGGCTAATTAAGCTCTTGTCCCGGCGATCGTGTCTCCTTCTTCAAGACTACTTCCTGGGACTCGGTTCTTCGCTTCTATTGATAAGGCTTTAGTTAAACCAAAACAACAATTTAAAAACCATTCTTACTGATTGGCTAATGCAGACCATGCGGTAACAAACCGCTTAGCAAACTCTCCAGTGAAGAAAACATGACAACATATCGATCCCCCACGGAGACTTACAATACGGACTGACAGAACACCCATGACGATATGCACGCCAGAAATTCTAACTGATCGTCACATAAGATGCCTCCCCTACAAACTATGGTCATATCCTGGGCGGCAAAAAGTCAACTTAATCTCGGGAAACTTAGTAGCATACTAGCGCGTACGTTTGTGGATACTGTCGACATCCCTCTTCAGGTCTGCGTTGCGTGAAAAAGCTTCCTCACAAACTTCACACGCGTACTCTCGGAATTCTGAAAATAGTTACTAAAAAGGTTAAATTCGTTGAAGAATGTGCTAGATACTTAAATCACTGAGTACATTATCGAATGAATTTCTAAGCTGGATTTTTACGCCGCAAAATAGTAATTTAATTCGGACAGGAACATCAAATACTTCGACTAAATAAAGAGGTATGCTCAGCAACTCCGCAGGTTCGAGAGAGAAAAGCGAACAGCAGAACATAAAACTGGGATTCGGAGCGATTTCGAAGATCGCCTTCAATGCTCATGAACCACGAAAAACGGCACGGGCACGTTTAGGGGCATAAACATCACATCCTGTAGTGCAAACTTAGAGTATGATATTCGAGTGTCGCGACGGTGGTCTGGACATGCCATAAAAGCAAGGCGTGAAATAGCGCAGCGATTTGCGTAGGGACTGAAAAACTGCTCGCGGCCAACTAGACAGAGGACGCCTCTGACCATCAGTACTAAAACAGTAGTCTTCCATAGTGCTGTGCAATGACTTGCAAAATGGTTTCGGTGTGGTTGCTAGTCCGGAGGGCGGCCCCCACGTCCCACTCAGGGTTGAAGCATCTAAGCAGGGAGTGCACTACGGGCACTAAAATAGCTACGGTCCAGAGGTGGAGAAAGACACTCGATGCCCGGCCGTCTCCGGATCTGATCATGCGTCTGCCTGCTAACGTGATGTGCGCGTGAATGAATAAGTCCCATTTGAGTAAGTCAGCATCAGCGTGGTCGGTTGTTTGGATGACGGCGCAGTTATGCACTTCAGTGAGGTTGACGATTCGCATGCTTTTTTGGTTGCTCGGAAACAGCGATCTCACGGTTCCTAGTGCGGCGTTGGCTGCAGACAAGGGAGGCCTTAAAGCGAAGAGAAGATTACTTAATGAAGCTGCGCAACAAACGAAGAACGTATAACCTTCAACTTTGAGTATTCTATCACTGTGTGTGCGCGCGGTGTACCTGAACAGCGCGGTGTATCGATGTTTAATTGCACCGTGCAGGGTGTGATAGGATGCCTTATGTACCTCGTGCAGGTGGTGACTGCCCCCCAAGCTCCTTAACCGTCACCGAACTCTCATTTGTGGTCCCCCCCATCCGGAGGCTGGGTTTCGCCCACCGGTCACAATCCGATAACCGCATTGGTCAGAGAGTTAAATTATATGAAGTTATCCGGTGTCGTGTGTCTCCACACACCGTATTTCCGCTTCTCATTCCACCCTCCTCTTCCAATTCAGAGGTCTTATTTTAGGGCGACATGAAATCCCATAGGCGGCGTGCGTTAACTCGTGTCGTTCACCTACCAAACCAAGCTGTGACCGATAATGGTGTTAGGCAGCCGTCTTGAATGTCTTAACAGCTCTGTTCAGGGACAGCACTGAGTTCTCCCTCCTGGGGAATTGACCAGAAAAGGAGGCCTCAGACAAAAGATGGTAAACAATGTCATCTGCTAATATATCGTAACTCGCGGATGTAAAACCCGCGGTCGAAAATCTGCAACGAACTTAAACTACCCTCGACACTGTCATAGGCCACCACTCCAAAGTTGACACCAATATCGCCATGCACCGTCCGATTTCCATCCCAGAAGCAATCATAGACGTGGAAAGGCACCCCCGCAAGGAAGGGCCGGCGTCCGACGCAATCCTAAACGAGGTGTACAAGTAAGACGGTCATCAGCTGATGGACAAACGCAAAACGCTGTTCCAGGAGATGTTGCGACAAAGACATGTCCATCGGGACATTTAGGACGCGACAATTGCCCACGCCTACAGGCGGAGCGGGAACCAGCAACTATGTGATAATTACAAAGGCAATTCCCTGCTCAATTTTGCAAAAAGATCTTCGCACACGTCCCTTTTAATCGTTTTAAGAGCCATCTGGAAGAGAGACTTCTCCCAGACAGTCAGTGCGGCTTCCGACGATACCACGGAAAGACCGACACGATCTTCGCGGCCTGCCAATTACAAGAGAGGTGCCAGGAAATGCGGGCTCACCTCTACACAGCCATCATGGATGTGACAAAAGAATTCGATACGGTGAGTCGTAATACTCTGGGAAATCACTTAGGAATACTACTGCCCTGACCTATTCGTGCGTATGGTGCATTAGCTCCACGAAGAAGTGATTGCGCCCGTATTGGACAATGGGGCATGAATTCTTCTCATTGATTTTCGATGATCCTAAACGTCCGATAATATTTAGTAGAAAACATGCATAAAAATATTCATTCTTTCGCTCATTCGGTAGACAATTACGTCTTCTACCAATCTTATACTCGAAAGGAGGATAATATTCGGTTTTCAAAACCTTTTCCAAGTCCCGAATAATTTTGAACCCGACCTTCCGTAACACTTGCTTTCAGGGTTTCCCAACAACAAGCCGTATATTTTCCGCGTACGGTAAACCACGCATTTCTCTGCAGTAATAAATGGGGATCATATAGAGTTCAAAAATGAAGCAGTAGATCTGATTCATATCGCAAATTTTACAAGCCACATTGGTAAGTGAAAAGACTCGACGATTTATAAACGGCCATTTCACAGTATTTAAAAGTCTCACAATAAGAAACTTTTTAAAACCGAATTATGTCCCGCTGTGAGTATAAAATTAGAAGACGTAATAATCTGCCGAATGAACAAAAGAATAACTATGTTAGGGGGCGCTCACCGATCGTTCATACGGAACTCACTCGTTCCGTTGGGCCTTAAGGGCTCTCTCTCGAGCCCAACTAGCAGCCGCACAGCGGCTCATGATATATAGGCAGAATCGTATTACCGACAAAGACAAGAGAGACAAGTCTCCCCCCTTGTCTTTGTCGGTAATACCATTCTGCCTTTATAAAGGAATAACTATGTTTGTGCATGATTTTAATGAAATATAATTGGACTATCGAAAATCCGTGAAAAAAATCTATGCTAAATAAGTCGTCCTTTTTTACAGAGTGTAGATTTTGCATGCAGCCAGAAGGAAGTTCGTTCGAAATCTGGCATTCTGACCCTGCCAGCACTTGGCCCCCTCTTGAAAGGGGGCCAAGAAGGGGCTATGAGGGGGCTAGCCCCCTCGTAGTTTTCTCGTCGGTATTGCACTATTAACAGGCATTACTCCGTGAATAAGCGTGCATTTTTCGTTTTAAAATTGTTTTTTGAATAATAAGAAGTACCTTTGGTTCTCGGAGGTTGTGCTTTTTACATATCTCGGCAATCCTGATATGAAGCTCGTATTTGTTTAAGTGTGTCAGTTTGCGGCACTTATCTCGCACGTGAGCTGCGTTCCTCTCGTCGTGAGTTCTAATACCGTCTACTGTGGTGTACGTGCATACGTTACTGTGGTATGTTACGAACTGTTGTTTTGCTCTCTTTTATAATATTTTGTTACTTTTGACCTGTAAATTTGTATTATCATTGAATAATTGCCTGTTGATTTAAGCAATATCAATGAGATATCCGTTCTAGCAGAGTCATCTGAGAAGCTGCACTTTGAGCCTTTGTTTATCATTTTTGTCATTGACATTAAGTAGAAATGAAGCGTAAGTATTTTGGAATCAACCGGAGCACTGCCTATAAGCGAATCCAGCGCCTAAAGAGGGCCTACTATGCTGCAACGGAGGCTGCCCAACCGGTTAATGTTCCATCGGCGTCTACTTTGCCAAGTGACTTTCCTGAATTAGAAATGCCAGAATTAACGGCTGAGGGTTACACTGGTAGGTTTTTCCATCGATGTAGAATATTAGTGGGTGTAGATTTTGCAGCCAGCCAAGTGCAAGTGACGGAAACTGTGGGAAAATCTTTTCTGTCCGGTTTACAAGAACTGTGTCTCAAAACACGAATGCCTCTCTCTATGATGAAGGCTTTATTCGATATGCTGCGGCCCTACCACCCAGAAGTCCCCAAGGACCCGCGAACGCTCCTGAAGACTCCCAGAAGTTGTAACGACAAGGTCCTCAGCAACGGGAAGTATGTCCATCTGGGCATTGAGCGAGCTTTGCTGGATGAGGTAAACCGTCGTCAAACGACTGAAATTCCTGAAATGCGCATCCAATTGCACATTGATGGGATGAAGTTGTTTAAAGGATCGGGTCAATGCCTTTGGCCAATACTTGCGCGAATTAGTCACCCTGTTATTGGTGATCCCTTCGTCGTTGGTGTATTTTCCGGCTTCGGCAAACCCGAACCAGTCGACGAGTTTCTTCATGACTGCGTTTGCGAATTGAAAGGACTTCTTGATGGTGGCCTGCGACTCCCAGGTACAGGGGATATTGTAAAAGTGGAGCTAGGCAATATAATTTGCGATGCCCCTGCCCGCTCCTACATCCGCCAAGTCAAGGCACATAACGGATACTATGGATGCGATAGGTAGGTTTGTTCATCTAGCTAACCTAAATCACTCTAGGTGCTGCCATGTAGGAATTCCCATAGCTAACCGGATGACATTTCCGCCATATAGTGGGCGTCCTCGAGACGATATGTCATTCCGGTTGCGAAAGCAGGCCATGCACCATCGGGGCATATCACCATTCGAGGAGTTACCCATCGACATGGTTGCCTGCTTTCCCATGGACTACATGCGCCTAGTATGCCTGGGAGTAATGCGTAAATTGCTGCACATGTGGCGCCTCGGGGTGAAGAAGTTTTCTGCGGCGCTCAATGCGCGGATTGAACAGTGCAGCAATTGTCTGCCGGCAGAATTTGCTCGGAAGTGCTGAACTCTGGATTGTCTGGAGTATTGGAAGGCGGCCGAATTCCGGCAATTTCTCCTTTACATCGGGCCGGCAGTTTTAAAATCATTTCTTGACCAGGAGCGGTATCAGCACTTCCTCAAGTTGTCTGTTGCCATCTATATATTTTCTCACCCCCGGTTACACATTACGTGCATTGACTTTGCACGCATCCTTTTAAATGGCTTCGTAGAAGACTTCGGCAAGCTGTACAATCCAGCTGACCTGGGTTACAACGTGCATTGTCTGGTCCGACTTCACGAAGATGTATCGCGGTTCGGAGTGGTAGACAACTTCTCGGCTTTTCGCTTTGAGTCGTTTCTGCAAAACGTCCGCAATTACATTAAAGGACCGACAAACGTAGCCGCGCAGGTGTACAGGCGCATTAGTGAAAGGCGCCTGCCTGAGTTGTCCACAGGTCCCACGCTGTTGGACGACGATGAGGGAGTGCCACGGTCTTTGCAGTTGCCCCGCAGCTCTAAGGCCATATTACACAACGGGTATCTCTTGTCGACCCAATCTCCTGACAATGTGGTACTTGTCGGCGATAGACCGTGCGTACTGACATCCGTGTCGGCTACAGGCATAGTTTACCGCCAGTTTGTTGATTGCCAAGACTGCCTGGATCCTGCATTCCCTTCCTCAACTTTACTCATTTTTAAGGCCTCCCATTTGGACAGCAAAGTTTCGAATGCTTCACTCGATGACATTATTTGTAAATACGTTGCGCTACACCTGGACGGTTGTTTTCACCTAATTCCCATGTTGCATACTTTTTGATTTTTGATCCCCCACTTTTTCCATTTTGCATCCCATGGACATTTTTCGGTTCTACATTTTGTGGACACTACTTACAGATGTATGCGGTTGTTGAGTTTTTGAATGATAAATCTGTGGCGGCCGTGCCGAAGAGTTGGTTCCACAGCGAGGACTGTGTGATGTGGGTTAAGAACCACAAGCTACGTGACCGGCTACTTGTGAATAACGAAAGGCCTCCAGAAGGCACAAAGATTTACCCGGTCCGTTTGCTGAAGAATGACCTCTCACTGGACAGAGCGCTTCGGCTAGAAAGAAAGGCTGTAGAGACTGACGATCTTTCCCACTCCGAGCCTACCGAATTAGGCCGAGGGATGAGGAGAAAGTAAGTGTTTGCTTTTCATTAATTTATCTTTGTAGGTTTGTGCGCCAGCTCACCTCAGACGACGACGAGGATGATGATGAGGAAGAAATAGCTGCACAAAGAGCAAGACAAGATCGTCTATTAACTGCTTGGCCCACGCCGCCACGCATTCTCCAGTAAGAATCTGTGTATATTATACCAACTTTTAGACCACGCAATACTTCGGAAAATACACCTTGGTGGAGAGACTGCAGCCAACCTACGCCACCAAGGGCTAATCAGTACGCCGTTTCTTTTAAAGTTTACTTTAGGCCGCCCCTGGAACCCTGCACGAGCGCGTTTGACAAAAGGTTATCACATGTGCAGCACGATGGTGAATGCGTCCGGTAAGACTGTTCTGAATCTTGATGACATGCGAGTAGACAAAAAGTTGATTACATTGCTGAGGAACTCGTCGAACTACGTGCTGACATAACGCAGGTTAAGGCTACAATGGCCGAAATTTTAAAGGCCATTCAGGATTTACGTCTGTCAGCTGAAGCGAGGCATCCTTCACTGACGTTGCCTCTGTGTACGAAGGAGGCCTACAAGGCTTTCGTCAGTGAGCTAGAGAATAATGCTAGTTTCGCTCAAGACGCGGTATGTACATATACTGACACTTCTTTATTTGAATGGATTGTAGATTAAACGTCTGGAAATTACAGACGGGCGAAACGAGAAAGAGTTCGTCAGAAATCTACTGACAACTCTACTCGAGGTAACTTAAATTGTATAGAATATTGTTGCAGGCTGACTAGATTTAAAACCTTACTTAATTAATCTTTGTGAAATAAAACGCATTTTGGAATTCCGATGGACATTTTATGACTTAGCCGACCAGATGTGCGAGAAGAAAACTCGAAATCGATTTCTTTTCTCCTTTGACTAACCAGGCCGGTATGTGTTCACGTAATCTTTTTCCCAGGCGTCTCGTTGTACGGCCAATATATCCCGTTCCGAAATATAGGGGAGCGCACTGCAAAGTCCACCATGACAACTGCAGAGAAGAAAGACTTATTTATAAGACTGCCTTTTCAAGGGGACGCAGCAAGTGACCTAGTAAGGTCAAGGTCAAACCGCTGGTTTTAAATTTGAAGATAAGTGGAGGATATTATTTTAAGTGGTTTTTCTGTGAGAACTAACGATTTTAGTACCTGTTTTTTTGTTTGAATTTCCTTAAATACAGGCGTTTTCTCTAAAAACTGCCTGCTGCCATCTCCTTTGGAGTTTTGCTAGTCTATGCCCGTTGTTCACTAATCGCACTTTGCAATTCTCATTTTGTGCACCCGATTTATCTCTAACTGTTGTAATTTATTTTTACATCGTTAGCCTCTAGCTGAAATTCAGTCAACTTGTCTGCCAGAAGTTTTCTTAATCACAAATTGCCTCGAGACAAGATGAGACCAAAAGTCACAGGTCGACGTAAGCTCTCGGCTCTTGTAAGTAAACATGGCCTAACTATACGTAAGTCAGAAGCTTTACATAAATCTAAGTCAGATGATATTACTAGTCAGTCGTCACCCGTTGTAATTGGTCGGCAGCTTAATCTGTCTGCACTTGACCACTGCAATGGCTTTATGCAAAAGTTTGGCTCTTTGCTGACAATTCTTGGACATTTATTCGATGGGAACATCTCCGATATTCTCTCTGAAGAATGTAGGCGTCTCAACTCACTTGTTCACCTGATCGCCAGTGAATCTAGTGATAGACAGAAGCGTTCTTACAACTTCCTGCTAAAAAATGTTCCTCGATCTGCTCGGCCAATTGATGTTGCGACCAGTTTCCTGTATTCATGTGGTTTCAACTATAAAATAGCTAATGCCAAACGCTTGTCCTCCCGTAGTACAAATCCACCCATCTTAGTCAAATTGTTTTCATCAATCGAAGTTGACACAATCTTTACTCATCGAGAGCGTGTCACTGCGTACCTAGAAAAGGCAAAATTTTTCCTTTGTCATGATCTTACTTCTATGGAGCGTAGAATCGGGTCTCTATTCTCACGTAAATCTACTGCTTCTCAGTCTAATGCTCCCCAACTCGGTCATAATACAAGTGGCCGTAAGGATTCAGCTTCTCCTACTCCTGCGACATCTGACTCCCCCCTTCCTCTTTCTCCTACATCTCCATCTCACTCAAGCCACTTGACGCATTTGCCTGCCACTAAACTTGCAGCAGCAGCAGCAGCAGCAGCCCCATTTGTCGTTTCGTATCCTCCGGATATTCCCGCTGAGACACATGAAAATCCGTCTACATCAGCTAGACCGAAAACTTCTATTGTCCAACTGGGTGCTGTAAGGTCTACAGCTAAGCCACCCGTGGCTTGGCGTCAGAACGGTGAGACTCGAAAATTGAATCAGACTCCGACCCAAAAGATAGGTAGTACAGTTCCATTTAGGGGTACGACGCCTTCTCTTAGATCTAACAAGTCTGTTCAGCCCAGCACGTCTACATACCACGCAGCTGCAAATTATATCCCCGAATAGTTATCTGTCCTGCGTACCGGTTACTTATCAAAGCCCTACTATATATCCAGCAAATAATTCATACATGAATTGCCCTAAATCAAATATGCCCCAACCTAGTTCAGGCTTCCCACCACTTAAGGCCAATTGCACTCAGGTACGTCAAACTATCTCCTTTGACTTCCAACCTAGACCTGGTTTCCCACTATTTCATTCTTTTTGTGGCCTACCCTCGCCCATTAGCCCCTACTTTCCTTCTAGCCTCCCTCCTCCTCCTCCCCTATCTCCATTATTTAACTACCAACAAGTCTATCCATGTTCTAACTCCCCTAGCATTCCAATGTTTGAAAACTATATCCCCACCTCCTTTAGGTCTCATACTCAGCCTTCTCTTGCTGACTCCCCGTACGTCAATAACTCTAAATTAACTGGTACTTACTCTCCAAGTGTCATTAATTCGCGGCTTACATATCCGCCCCCAAATTTTTTAAATACCGTCGAAAATAGCATTGCCGTTCGAAACACATTAGATATTATATTATTGAATGCCAGATCTTTTATTAACAAGATAGTCCAAATCAGACCCATTGCTCTGGAAATGACGCCTGATATTATATGTGTAACTGAATCTTGGACACATTCTCTAATTCCTGACTCTGTCCTTCTCATAGATGACTTCAATTTTTACCGCCAAGACCGCACGACTAGGCGTGGGGGTGGTAGTTTTCTTTATCTTAAATCCTACCTAAAGCACTCTGCCTATTACTTGGATGTTTCCTTATTCACGGGAAACTTCTGCTTTGCATCTGTTATTCTCTCGCCGCAAAGAAAGGCAATTATTGGCTGTATCTACAATCCCCCAAGTTCTTTAGCCAGTGATGATTCTCAACTTTGTGAAATCTTTAAATTAATTTCGGAAGCTGCTTTCGATGTTAAAATAATCACTGGGGACTTTAACCTTCCTGAAATAGAATGGATTTCCAATAGCTGCCCACCCAGATTCCAGCCCTTTCAAGTTATTGTCAATTTTTCTAATTGGTCCCAACTGGTGCGCTCTCCAACAAGAGATAATCACATTTTAGATCTAATCTTTACCAATGACATTGCTCCTCTTTCTGTTGTTTAAAAAAGGACCTCTTTGACAGTGACCACGTATTAATTCATTGTTGCTCACCGCTTGCCTTTTCAAAAAAGACAAGCGTCGTTCGGACTTACATGAACTACGACTGCGTAGATAGCGACTTAATAAATAACTGTATGAGATCTTTGGATTGGTGTGACTTCCGCACTTGTAGCGATGCAACCATTCTTCATGATGTCATGTCCAATGTTTCCAAGGACATCCTAGAGTTTGTGCCACGTAGATATATCAAGCCTAATTCTTCACATTCCCTTGTTCCTCATTTTCTTCAGAACAGACTGAAAAAGTTGAGGCGACAACTGCGTGACCTTTCCACTATTTCCTTATCAGTTCATCTTACAATCACAGAGATTTTTGAAATGGCCTCAAGGATGCGCCAAGCGCGCGACAGGCAAAGAGAATCAATTGCTCTCAGTGGTTCGAACCCTGGCAAATCCGTCGCTAACATCTTCCGTCATCGGTCCTCCTTTAAGCGTGGTCATGAACTTCCACCCATGCTAAATGATAACAAAGTCTTCCTCACCGATGACACTGACAAGGCGGAGTTGTTTAGTGCTTTCTTTGCAAAACACCTTGCTACCGAGTCCGATCCGGTCCCTTTCTTTCCATCACTTTCAGATAGGACACTGAGTTCAATTGATGTCTCCTCAGATCTCATTAAGAAACACACAAGTCGTTTGAAATACTCACACTGTTCAGGAAGGACGGGATTCCAAATTCGATTATTAAACAAGTGTCTGACCTTCCATATTGCTAGTCATTTATTCTCGGTTTATATTTCAAAAGGATTCCTTCCTGAAACATGTAAAACGTCAATTACCATTCCCGTTTTCAAGTCAGGATCTCGGTCCGATGTTAATAATTATCGGGGCGTGCACAAAACGCCGTCTCTAGCAAAACTTCTTGAAAGGATTATTTTTAATGAAATTCTTGACTTCTGTCTAGCTAATCGGCTTCTGAGCTCTAGTCAGCATGGATTTTTACCTAAACGATCCTGCGAAATATGTCACTTGGCTTTTCTTAATCTAATCACTTCTCTTCGTAATGAACGGCAGTCAGTGGTAGTTATTTACTTTGATCTTAGCAAAGCCTTTGACAAGGTGCCCCATACACGTCTTTTAGTAAAATTGGAAGCTCTCGGCATCCGGCCGCCTCTACTCGACTTCATCAGGTCCTATCTGTCCAACCGTTATCAGAAAGTCATGGTCGGTAATAGCTACTCGACACCCCACTCGATCACGAGTGGCGTACTTCAAGGCACGGTCCTGGGTCCGCTACTCTTCCTTCTGTACATCAATGATATTTCGACTGGACTCGGAAATTCGCAAACTTTTACGTATGCCGATGACCTCAAGCGTGTTTACTCATACTCTAGGCACACCGCAAATGTTTTTGTTGAAAAAATTAATGCCGATCTACTACGCTTAAGCAGATGGGTTTCGACATGGCAGATGGAGTTTTTATCATTCAAGTGTAGTTTTATGTCGTTTGGTCCTACCAAACTTCCTGGTCCCATAATTTTTCAGAATAACCCACTC